CTGAAATGTTTCATAAACATCTAATCCCATACAATCTGCAATTTTCCAGAAACATCTGATTTTTCCCGATTTTGCTAAAAAAAAATGCAAGGTTTACCCCTTACAATTTGATTTTTTTTCATAAACATCTAATTTTGCCCAATTTTACATCAGCTTATGCTAACAAATTATCAGGTTTCTGGATCATTGAACGGGACAGGTGCACATCGGCCTTGGAGCTCAGACCATGTGTCATGCACTCCTCAATGCATAGATGATGCACATAACACTATGGGTAGTACAGGCACAGCTGGGGGTACTGCCCAAACAATGATGAACGCATTGTGTATGCTTAAATAATTATCCACAATTCCGGTTTTTACCGTTTAGGTCTGGCTCTAATCAGTTTACGCGATCCCCTGACGTCTCATACACTGACTTTAGGCAGAATAGTCAGACTTTCGCGATCTAGTAACCAGACTTTGACTCTTAAAGAAACATCGAATGAAAAGGGAAATATCAATAGTAGTGATGGAGTTGAAAATCTGTATCTGTCCAAATAGAAACAGTAGAAGTCAGGCGCGGATCCGGGGTTCGAACCCCAACCCCTCCCCCACCCAGCTGGACCCTCCCCCCCCCCCCCGGCTCTGACACACACAAAATAGGCTAAACATTACAAACATGATAAGATCAGATATAGAAATCTAACAGGCCTGACCCCCCCCCCCCACCCCGCCAAAATTCAAACTAGCCTACATAATAATAGTGTTCATTGTTGCGTAACGATAAGTACGTTTAGCGCACGTGTAGGCCTACTACTAACGAGGCTGCCGTATACAATTGTCCAAACAAATGAAAACAGTTGACTCATTACTGCCGACTTCAATTCTGTTCGTCCTTGGGGCCAAACAGATGCACACAGCAATGTTCCAGGTTTCTCCGCCTCTTAATAAGACAAATTGTTTTTGAGGAGAATTCTAAGGAAGCCTGGTGGCCGAGTGGTTAGATCCGTCGTCCACGAATCGCGGAGCCCGGTATCGAATCCCGTGGGTGTCTTTTTGCTTTTCAACACACGCGTTATATTCAGTCACTATAAGATGTTTAATTTCCGTCGTAAAATGCCAACAGTACCTTAGCTTAATCGGTAAGCACTGCTGCTGGCACTGTCCGCGAGTTCCAGGTTGGCACCTTCGTACAGGTTCAGGGCATGTGGTCCACTCGGAGAATCAGGGCTTAGGGTGCCGCCCTGTTCCTCCCTTAGCTCTTTGCTTTACAGGGCGACTGGCCCTCCGGGGTTACATGGATGGACAGGAAAGAAAGTGTGTATTGGCCGGAAACGCCGAGATCCCGGAAGAGCCCTAAGGGATTGGCTGGGGCATAGTTATGGCTCAGACCGATCCCTGAATGCTTGGCTAGCACATAACCTTTTGATTTTCTTTTTAGCCTCTATTTACATCTGCTCGGCAGGCCTACGGTAGTATTAAAAACAAAGCAAAGGTATGTGTAATAAATCAATGATTTTTTTAATAATTGACTATAATCAAAACGAAGTTTTGTTCGATCAATATGACTATGCCATTATTAATGACGCAATTTTCAATAGAAGTAAGAAACGCAGTATGCAATATTGTACCGGAAGAAAAATAAAAATGTACATTGTAATGTGTTTATTACGATTCAAAATAATAACGTTTCTTTAATTGTGAACATTTCCCAAATATATAGTTATTCGCAAATTAGGAACACGCAAGAAAACAAAGCCCCTCAGCCTTAAAACTGGAAATAAAAAATAGAAAAACAAATTCAAGTGGAAAACCCCAATGTACCTTAAAATTTGAATTGGAAAATTCCATAACATGGGGCTTTTACAGACTAGCCTTTGACTGTCAGTGACATGCAGTCACGGATCCAGAGAGGCTGGGGGGCGAACCCTTCTCCTGCTCTGACACTATAAAGTATGTACATGTGTATCTGAATCTGACGGGCCTGAACCACTCCCCCTCCTCCCAACCCATCCCCTTCAATAGTTACTAGATCTGACGTAAGTTGGTACATTGATATGAAATGTGATATCGACTTACCACTTTTTTGACCCAAATGAAGGTTCTGTAGCTCATGTAGGATGAAAGAATGAAATGGGGTAAGCAATTATTGTTGGAGTCCCCAGAATGTGGGAAGGCCTGTGGGCCACGACCAAACAGCGGGGTATCAGCCGATGGCTCGTCCGTTCATAAGTTGCCTTTTGACACCTTGAAAAACTACCGATGATGAATATAAATGACCCGCTAAAAGCGTGGAACCCAACAGGCGGCAGGGGCGGAACCAGACATTTCGGCAGGGGGGGGGAGTTCATCAGCCAAAAAAATTTGCAATGTAGACAGGTTTTTTTCCGGACATTTTGGCCTCCGAAAATCGGGGGGGGGGGGGCTCGCACCATACTATTTGGGCGCAGTTCAAATCCAACGACTTTTAATGCTATATTATTGCAAAATAGCGTACAAATATCCCACGTCGAAGCTGCCTCTGCTGTCCGTATGTTGTGCACAGGCGGACGTTATTACCAGTATAGATTATTTGGGGTGTCAGAGCGGGGGGGGGGGGGTTCACATTATTTTCAGATAATTTCTATGAAAACGATTGTATCACAGAAGTGGGGGTTGGAAACCCCCCCCCTCCTTTATAGGGGCCATGGCGACTCTTGTACAGTGCTAGAATTTGATCTGCCGGCGCGACGTCTTTTCATACGTCGTGTCAAAAAAGTCTTACTTATGATCGTAAATAACTATGTTGTTTACAATTACAAATGGAATTATATCCCCCAAATAGAAAATTCCAATGAGCTTTCAAATGAGACATCGCACGAAAAAAATCGGCCCACACCAAGCAATCAATTATTTAATTTCAACTTTCGAATAATTCGGTGTGAATAGTGTGCGCAATTTCAGAACTGGAGCGCGTCAGTTAAAGCCAACTTTCAAATCTGAGTAAAGGCCTGCAAACTCAAACAAGCAAATTTATTTGTTACAAATTCAAAAGTTTTAAAAGGCACGTGGGCTCTATATACCAACTTTTAAGAATGTCGTACTTAATAAAAAAAGAAAATATGTGCGTGACGATGCAGTATTTCGAAGATCTCTAAAAATGGATGCCGCTGCTTGATATTTGCTGTTCTTCCTTTTACCGACATTCTTAGCGCCGATAAAACCCACCTCAGGGCAGTGTCATAGCGGGGGGATGCACAGTTGCAAATGGCAACCGGCTACAGATTTTAAAAGCGAGCCGGGAGGGAGGGGGGAGGGAGCGTAAAGGGGCCGGCGACATCATCGGAAAAATGAAGCACCGTAGGAAAATTTAAATTAGTTGTTCGTTGTGTTATTCGGCGCAGCGCGCACAAGCATTGGAACGACGCACAGGCGCGCGCGGTTGCTATAATTCGTTGGATCAGTGCGCAACATCGCGTAAAACTGCAATTCAAAACAATTCCAAACATGATTTAGCAACTTTTGATTTTAAATTGAGATCCTAGAATGCTGTTTTTCTCGGAATATGAAGCTGAAGCTGAGCTGAAACTTTATCAAGTAAGTTGTTCAGTATCCTTCATTAGATTTTGAACACTTTTGTTGCTTCAAACGAACAAAATGCACTAATTACAAATGATGGACTATAGCTTTAAAGCGCCGCACATTTCTGATAATTTACATTTTAAAAATTGGTATACTATATTTTGAGACACCTTGTAGACTAGGTTGATGATGCCTGACTTTACTGTTGGTATTACACAGAAGACAAAGGAATTTCACAAAGTACATGCAAGACCTAAAGATGAAGATTTGCTGAAAACATGAACCAATAATTAGACAATTTAAGTACATGTTAGTTCATTATACGTGTTTGTATAATAATACTCCATTTTAGGATAAGGAAAATGGTGGCTCAGACCCATTCAGAGACGCCCTTTCGTATAGATTGACAATACCCATAAAAATATGTTCGGGTGTTGGTGTTTTCGTCTAAGAGTTAATTTCCACTGGGTCCTCCCAAAAACCAACAGCTCTGTCCAATTTTTTTCATATAAATTCATTAAAAATAAGGCGACCCCGCCCCGACCCCAGAAACAATTATACTGGTTATAATGTCCGCCTGTTCCCAAAATATGGACAGAGCCTGCTTGGTTTAATAGGGGCTAGTTGTACAGTATTATGTAATGTAGTGTTAATAATTGTCGGATTTGAACAGCGCCCCCATTAAAATGTATGATACGAGCCCCCCCCCCCCCCCCCCCCCCCCCCCCCACCCATTGATTTTACGGAGACCGAGTGTCCGGGCAAAAATACATGTCTAAATTTCAGCAATGATTTGCTGATACCTGGTGCTTGTTTCCCTCCAACCTATGATCTGTCCTGTTTCCAAAGGAATGTTAATTCCTACCTTCCGTTTTCCTGAGTACCTACTCTTCTTTTAATTTCTTTTGTAACCCTGTACCTGGAGTAGATTTAAGCATTGTTCAAGCGTCAGAAAGCTGTACAATTTTTTGAATTCACAAAATGACACAAACGGATCCATTGAAAAACACCATCTACGGCAAGAATGATTGTCATCATTAGGATATCGCTCTTAAGATTCAACAAAGACAGGTTATTAACATTTCAGTGAAAAACTGCATGTGTTTCTCACTGGATTTGCTTTGAAACAGTCACTCAAATCGATCTCAGTTTTAACATTCTAAATAGCTGAACCTTAAAAGATAATGGTTATATACATAAATTCTACGAAACAGATTTACAGGGTACACAAGATTTAGAATATGCCATCATACAATTATATTATGTAGATACTCTCGAATTTGCTACGTAACATTACATGAACAATACATTGTTCTTCAAAACGTTTCCACATTGTGCTTGAATAATATTGCATCTTGCAGTTGAGCATTTACTTTATTTCTCTTTTCTTGATTGCATCATTTAAATTAAGATAATATTTACTTAAAATATCAATACAATAAATGTCAGAAATGCACGTTACATGTGGGTTGAACATGTACATCCTAAACATTAAACAACAGGACTGTGTGGGTGTCTGCTTTCGAAATCAAAGTCATTACATTTGTTTTAATTAAACCATACATCTTGTGTTATTTTAGTGTAGGAAACTTATTCCAAACATCATGATTTTCAAACTTATAGATATGCACTCTTCACGAGTCCAACGATACTACATGAGATTTTGAACATTAAATCTCATTTACATAATAATTCTGAACTTGTCTTAGCAGCTGCTTAATTTTGTCTGAGTTCAGACATTGAGACATCCAATGTTTCGACTGAGCATGCCTTTGGGTTTTTTGGTTCAGATTTGTCCTGCGAATCACTATTGCTAGTAGTTTGCCGTGTGCAAGCCGAGTAAATCGTGTACAGGTACGGATTAAGTGAGGAGTTGATTGGTAGGATAAATACAACAATCCAACCATACATACCGGCTCCTATTTCAATCGTGTTAGTCTGAGAGAGAATTCCCATGATGATCACCGGCATCCAGCAAGCGAAATCCGTACCTACGATCACCGCCATCTTGACGGCCATTTTGATTTCGCGGTTTCGATGAGAACTCTTTCTCACCAGCTTACTCGACCTTTTGACAATGACAAAAATGGCGACGTAGCAACAGAAGACGATCAAGAAGCAAACCAGATTGACACCGAGAAACAGAACCACCGACAGGATCCAGGCGGGTTTCTTGTCAGTACCAAATTAAGAGTAAGTTGCTGGCTTCCTAGTGGATTGTTGGTGTCTAATTCAGCTTGGCTGCTATCTTCCCTGGTCGCTTTGGTGGTGAAAGGTAGTCCTATGCAGACATCAGAGAGTCCATACCAATCTGATTCTGGTTCGACCAAGATAGTAGGAACAACACTCAAGGAAAAAGCCACAAACCAAAGCAAACTGACTGCAATTTTTGTCGATCGTTCTCGGAGGTGGATACCACGATTGAATGGAAACACAATGCACAAGAAGCAATCGATGCTGATGAGTGTTACGAAAAACACCGACGCCTCACTGGACAAGACCGATATCACTCCAGCTATCTTACACACCACGCTGGACCGCCACACGCTAGCAGTACGGAAGTATGCCTCGCCATAAGAAAGATCAACACCTGCTATCATTAGCATGTACACACCCATCATGAAATCCGAAATTGCCAGATTCAACACCATAAATGAATGCGTCTTCTTACCTCCTCTACCACCTGCGCCTTTTATCCTCCAAATGATAACCACTACATTACCCAAGAGGGCGCTCAACCCCAATACCCACAATGCCACGCGCAACACGTTGTTCTGCAACAGACTTCCACACAGGTTCAGTGGTGGTTGCAACTCGGTAGTGTGGCAGTCTGTTTCGAACGAGAAATGTTCTAACTCTGCAAAATCACAGCATAAACGGTAGTCGTCAACGTACCTATAAAGCGAACAGAGTTGAAACCAAAAAGGCTATTAATTGTATCTTGTCGAGAAACACCTGTCAACAGGGAACTACGTAGGCCTACTATAAAGTATACAAAAGCAGAACATGTTTACCGTCATCTAAATAAAAAATACAAGCGAGTGTTTGGATGTTATGAAGGAAAGGGGAGGTAAAACCGAAAAAAAAAAGATTGTTAAAAACTCACCAGATGCCTAGAATCACAGTGTGGATAACATCTATCTTTTAAAGTTGATCTAAAGAGTTGATGAGAGCAGTTAATGAAATTCATTTACTCACACAGTTTGCAGAGACTCTAACTCCTGAAACGCTCCCTTTTCCACCTCAATAAACATGTCGCCTCGTAGTTTGGTTATGATCACACTAAAAGTAGTTGTTGAAAAATCAAAAAGAAATCATTTATTTCATGTGTTTGTGAATTTTGCTTGCTTACTATGCCTTGCTTGGGAAACAAGGTTTTTTGGGAGCGGTCGTATTTTTTTAAAGCTACAGGGCCTATATTTATAGCATAACAGATTTCGAAAGTAGTTGTTTGTACCTTTATGGACGTTTTTGATCTTCTAATTAAAATTGTAGAACCATGATCGAATTTCATAAAGGCACGCAGGTAAAACTATGCAAGCGTAAGAAGGAAATAATTCTCTTACAGTGTTTCAAGATTTGACAGTCCCTGGAAAGCATCTGTAGAAATAGACCTGATGGGAACATTTACCATCATCCTGTATGGAAAGGAGGAAAATGAAAAAAGTCAAATTTTCATACACTTCAATCTATGACGCGACGAAAGTTGGAGTGGGCAGGGTATATGTTAACACGTGCAATGAGAGCCATCGAATGCTACAGACAAAATAATATCTGCATGTATACAATTACACATCACGTTTGGTCTAGCAGATGGCCAATTTGGCATTGGTACAAAAATATGAACATGTTACGTCGGATAGAAAAAAAGCCAGCAGTGTGCAATAGAAGAGTGGCATGCCGTCCCCCATCAAATACTTTAGTCACGTCTCTCCTTTCGAATGAAATGAAAGTGCCACTTACAATGTTTCGAGTTGCTCCAATTCGTTAAAGATGGGCAAATCAATCCTTGTTATATTGTTGTTAGAAATATCTCTGCGGAAAAGAAAAGATATTCACCTAAATATCTGTGGGTATTTGCTTAAATAAACGCACATAGGTGTACAATCCCTGTGAATATAGATGTTTTGAAATTTGAAAGGAATAGTATTGAATTGAGAAGAAATATTACTAAGCAAATATTTATATACTAGAAGTATGGAAGTATGCATCGATCATTATTAGAAGTGCCTGTGCATTTTTTCAGTCCATAATTCGTAGTTTGCGGAAAACGTGCCGGCGGACAACCAACTGTTGTTCGTTTAGACGATGCTCGTTCTTTACTCAAAATCCCGCTCCCGCCCCTCGGCCCTGCACCACCCAAAACAATGGGCGACGCATAACGGGTTTTTTTCAAGGGCGGATCCAAAAAATGTTTGGATTCTAGATGCTCTGTGGTGCGATCTGAGGCAATTTCTGACCACTTTAACCAGTGTTTTTTTAGGAAAAGATGGTGGTGTTCTCATTGCCTGCCTTTATTGCGAAGTCACCTTAAAAAATTGGGGGGGGGGAGGGCCATGGCCTCCTTTGCCCCCCCCCCATACACCCTTAGATTTTTTAAAAGGTTTTCAATTATATGAACACTTATATCAAGCAAATTTCCTGGCATAATACTTGAAATTCATTACAGAATATCTTCGAGCTCAATTTCAATTTCAAACAGCCATCAATGAATTTTATTAAGGAACGTATTACATATGTCACATTTGTAGCTGCATTCTAAATCGTAAAATTCGTCTCATATGGCGATATCGGCGCTGTATTGAAAAAGCTAAGTTGTTGCTGTTGTTTTGTTTTGTTTATGTTTTTTTATTTTCTGTGATAGTGTTATTAACATCTGGGAAAACCTATATTTACTACTTACAAATATGTTATATTCAGCCCAGTGAAAGCACCTTGCTGTATCCATTGTATGTGGTTATCTGTCAGGTACCTGAAATGATAAACATTAATCTGTGAGACAGAAGGACAGAAGGGGTATTTTTACTGGATTGTGAAAAGGGGAAAGTCAGTTTTAGATATCTTTCTTTGAGTTTCAGACCAGAAATGCAAGCCCTTTCTGATGCAGTTTGAAAACTCTACTCACAGCGCCTCGAGGTAGTGCAGTCCTTTGAAACCACCCGACTCAAGCGTAAGGATGTCACCGTTAGTAAGTTGTCTGTAAACCGTTGAAAGGAAAAACGTTAAGAATTGTTTTAGACAGTGTCAATAATCGGCAGCTACACGCGCATGTTGGTGGTACTGCTATTCTTAAATAGAGCCGAAAGCCCGGTTCATACTTCACGCGAAAGCGAAAGCGAAGCGAAATTCGTGACTTTCGAAGCGCGTTCATCATTGTTGACGACACGAATTTCGCTTCGCACAAGCTTTCGCGTGAAGTATGAACCGGGATGAACACTACATGTGTGCGTCTTTGTTAAACAATGTCAAACTGTGAGGGCATATAGGATCGTTTGCTTTCCATACAGTTTGATCGTTGCCATTAATAACACCACTCGAAATCCTAAGAAGAACGTTCAAAACCTAAACTGTTGAGGCTTCAGCTCAATGGATATTACACTTTTTGGGAAAACAGTGAAAAACATGGCCAACCTGTTGATCACGAAACACGATTTCGCCAATTGAACTCTTTATATAAAAAATAAATCAATTAATAGACTGATGGTTGAAAATCGTCAACATTTCTTGACTTCTTCTAAATGACAGCAAGCGAGACACTGATAGTTTCACGGGGTGTTAAGTACCAGGCGATGTTTAATCCAAGTGAGCTTTCGATAACAGTTCAGTAGGTTACTTTTGGGGTAAATGCAAATGATTTCATGTGCCTTTGAATATATATTTTAAAAAATTGTTAAACCAAAGACATTACACAGTGTACAACTTTGTATTTATATCTCACAGAGCCTGTGTCCTTCTTGCAGTGTTGGCGAGGGTGCTTGGACTCCACCCTTGTTGACACCGAACATGGAAATCGTCGACGTCATAGTTGCACTGACAGCCATTGGGACAACGCTTGGTATCTAACAACAATGAAATTAAACATTAAGAGACTCTAAAAATTGTTCTTATAGATAATATTGGGAAATATGAATGATTTGTTACCGTGCAACAACTTAGAATGCAGAAACATAAGTTGGGTAATTTCACGCACGTGTTCCCCGTACGTGGGTTCGAACCCGGACGGGGAACATGGTGCTTGTGTTCTTGGGCAAGACACTTTACTAAAATTGCCTCTCTCCACCCAGGAGTATAAATGGGTACCTGTGAAGGTAGAGACCAGATTGCGCTGATCTTGAGCTGCTGCAGAAACTGGTCCCATGGCCTGATGAACAGGGGTAATAATAGTGAAGCGCTTTGAGACCTTTGGTATAAAGCGCTATTTAAGCACTATATATTATCATTATATATTGTGTCAATGTGTAAACTGATGTGGTAATGCACGTGGTATTGCTATAAATGATTTTTAGCTATAAAATAAGGAGAATGAAGGAAAATACGCGAGAATAACGAGTCATTGTGCGAGTGTGGACCCGTCAATAATCTCTCGATTTTGATTGGTACTAACCACAGTTGATTTAGCAGTAGGCCTACTCATGCGCTTGTGAATTATACATTCTTCAATGTCCCAGATATACGATTCGACCCAAATCCGGATCGGATTTGGCCGGACACTAGTTGTTGGTCAAAATAAAAATTTGTGTTTGTGTCATTCTGACACTTTTCCGTGACAAATGGCCCGGAAAAAGTGCATCGGAGAAGTGTCATTTTGACTTGGAAGAGTACTAGGTCAAAGCCGGATTTTGGCTTGGTTGAATTTGACCCGTACTGGGGTCTTCACGCGTGTACTGTGTTATAATATGTTGCCTCCAACATGGTCTACATTATCTAAACAATGGGGAGGTTTGAGCCGAGGGCCATGTTTTCTTTTCATGCATTGATTTTCTGCTCTTTCAAACTTTGGGTTGTGTTTGAAATTGATGTCAAGACTTACCGCAATCGATCTCGTCGTCACCAGAGCCGCAGTTGACCGTGCCGTCGCATACTTCCTCCCAGTAGATACACTTGCTGGATGCATTGCACGCGTAAAACTCAGGGCAGTGGGTATTTTCTGTTAAGAGGAAAACATCGTTCATTCAAATTGAGTGTGGCCCCAATATACAAACTTTCGGACGATGGAATTATAGACAAGTGATTCTTAGGCCAGGTTGGGCCTTTTTGTTTCTCATTATCTCACCAAGTTTTCAACCATGTTGATATCAAGTTGTATTCCATACAGATGGTTATTTTTCTCAACTCTTGAGGTCATGATGATGAACATAATGAGATGAAGTTTGTGATGCGACCGTGTACCAATAAAAATGATTTTGAATTATGCGTATTAATGTGGTGGAAATAATTTATTTGTTATTTTTTTAGAAAAGGCTCTCCGGATCATGCCACGTACACTAAAAAAAAATGTAATATACCATTTTTGAGCTGGCATTTCAAGAGGTTAGGTTGGAACATTCGTCTTTAGATTTGTTAGGGTGTTATTATTGGAATCGAACAAACTGAATGAAATGCAAATGATCATATATGCCTGACAGGTTTGCACACCCACTGACGTGAAAAGAAAATCGGAAGCTTATGAGGAGAGCTGGGGGAAAATGTAAACTGCTGTGATGGTGATCAATCATGCATTGCCACAAGAATACCCTATTCCAGTTTATAAAAATAACAGTTTTTTTACGACAATTCTGTTCATCAAGTCCGCTTTTACAATCTGTAAACCCATCGCATCTGGCTTCAGGAATCACGCACGACCCGTCTTTACAGTCAAAAAGACTTTTGTTGTTCATATCACACGACACCGGGATTCTCTCTGTTAAGAAAAGAGAAAAGAGTGAGACATTTTCAAAGTTTGGCGTATGTGAAATAAGAGTGGTATTATTAAAGCGCATGTATCCACCGGGACAGGTGCTAAAGGCGCTACATCATTATTACCCCTGCTCATTGGGCCCATGAAACATTCCAAATACCATCTTAGCACCCTGGGGAGTATTTACAGCTTGATACAGCCTGTTAGGTGCAAGGAAGCTAATTGAATCACAATAACCATCTCTGCCTTCACAGGTACCAGGTTTACTCCTGGTTGGAGAGAAGCAATGAGTGACAAAGTGCCTTGCTCAAGGGCACAGGCAACATGACCCCACGCTGGACTCGAACCCACAACCTGCAGCTTTACATAACATAGTAAACACAAAAGGTATCACAGTTCCAAGTTACCTAAAGTGACTAACGGCCAGATCTCATTTAACTCTGACTCTCAGTGAGTGTACACTCACTGACAGTCAGAGTTAAATGAGATCTGGTTCAGCGATTCGTTTAATAAGTTTGAAACATTACATCTCTGACTAAAAAACCCTTTTACCTCCGGTGTATGGTTCAGGGCAAGATCTCGCATGGGGAGCGAGGCGCTCAGCACAGAAAATGACAAAAGTATCTTCGGAATGTGCCGCTCTCCTCCAAAGAATCAAATCGATTAAGGGTTTCGATTTGATAACGCATCCACATTCGACTATGATTAAAGTGCAATCGAGGGCCTGCAACCCTGTATGATTAATGTATCCTTCTTGTATTTTTTGGGGAAAAGCGTGTTTGGTTGAATATATTTTGTAAAAACGTACCTATCCCAAATTGTTCACAGTCTTCGCTTGGCGATTCCACTTCTTCGCACCAAGTTGGATCTGTAGTAAAAGATGAGATACTTGTGGATATATTTCTTTCTTGGCAGCCATTAAGAGGCATCTTCAATTGCGAAAGCATCGTGCAAGTTATTGTTCAGATAATCTGCCATGGAACCATTGCATTGTACATCAGTACCTTGCAAACAGTAGCGGATCTAGAGGGTATGGTTGCAACCCCCCCCCCCCAAAAAAAGTATAAAAAAAAATCTGTTTTGGTGGCCAATATTGTGGATTTAGTATTGTAGTATTTTTAATATGCATGTGTTATTCTAAGTTTTGTTTATAAGGCATGGAGAAGGATTCATATTTTATGTGAAAAACTGCTGTCCGATTATAGGTTTCGAACATGTTTTAACTTGTATCAAAGATTGGCGGACAAACAGTAATTCAAGTTACCGTAACGCGAGTTACCGAAATATGACCCCCTTGAAATGTTATGATCGGTCTTTTTTAATCATTGATATGGCAGCATGACTTACACCCTACTGCTGTGAGGGCACTAAAAAGATTCTTCCCACAGTCCACAGTATGAAGAAACTTTCAAAAGAGAGTTTCTGCCACGTCCTTTTGTGTAACGCGAATTAATTGTAAAAACAAACTTCTTGCCAAACCAACAGAAAATGTTGTTCGCTTCTTTTTTGTAGTCACTTAAATTCAAGGGATCTTCTGTGAGGGGAAAAAAGTCTACCCTAAATAATTTGACTTAATAGAATAAAGTACAAAGTTTACGCAAGTCCCCCTTTAAATGTAACGCGAGTTACCATGGAATTGCCCATGGGGTGTTCAGTGTAGGTGGGGATGAGTGGACATCGTTAACGAAGCGTGACGTTCCTCTCAGGCTTATTACAAGGGGAATCTACGGCGTGGATCTGATATGCCCCAGTCATACTTACCATTGAAAGGCAAGCTGCTTTGAATCGATAATAGATATCCTCTCATCCCAAAAATCCAATCCGATGTAAATTGAATGAAAATCGACGATGAGTTGAAGACCATGCTGCGAACTTTTGTTGTGCCGTCAAATCTGAAGTCTGAAGGCAAGACTCCGTAGAATGTGGGACCTTGCAATAGCAACACATCGTCATTAAGTTCCGTATAAAAATCCTCGATTTGGACAAAAATCACGCGATACTGCAAGGTAATGATAGTCCACGTGCAGTCAAGTTCATCGGGGTAATCGGCTGGGTAATTTGGCGAAGAAAAACTCACTGGTAGAAGGTTCACAGAGATGGTTTCCTCGCCGCAATGATCTGAGGGTTCAAAGTTATGTTACACTTTAGTCTTTCCAAAACAATTTTTTAAAAATTGAACAAGGAATCTCCCCAAACTAATTTCGAATGAATACTGTATATGCCGTAACTGGCCGTACAATCAGCATCACGTACTCTGGCATTATTTTTGGTTGAATATCCTGTTAGCAAAGTGATTATGTTCACAAAAAAAACAACCAGGATTCTATGTCCTTTCTTTGATACTGAACGGTTCTTCACACTTGAACATTAAAAAGGAAAAATAACTCACCTATACGGAACTTTCATACACCATACAAAAAAAGTCACTTACTTGTCGGGCATCGCAGCGATTCAGTGTTTTCAGGAACACATATGAACTCCGGATAGTCGCACAATACCTCTCCAACTCCGCATGAAACTATAGAGAAAAACGAAAAGTATCGCTGTCTCGAATAGATGACGATCGGGTATCGAATCAAGGATGAGATATCAAATCAACTACATCAATATATAAGGCAACAAATCAAGAGTCAGGTGTCAAAACAATCAGGTATCCAATCCACAGTCACGTTTCTAATCAACAATAAGGTATTACATCAGCCACCGGGTATCAAATCAAACGGTCACATATCAAACAAAATCAAATAAATGTTTCAAACACACATTACAGAATTGCCCAGATCAGAAAAGAAGAATTTACAATCAGAGAATAATTAACCAAACAGAGTACGACAAAAAGACCAATTGGCCCTATACATGTATGGGAAATTCAAGCATTATGACAAGCAGTGTAATGTCCGTAACAGAGCCAATTAACCATGATATCTAATTAATGATTCAGAAAAATGATCTAGTCTATAATCTCCTTGATCATTACTAGATATTGGATGTAGAAGATTTGAAGAAAAAAAACATTTTCAGGTTTATTAACGGAGCTCATGAAAGCTCTGTTACGGACATTACATAACACTGGAATTGCCCACATTTAGTGTGCAAGAAACGCACTTGATTAGAGATAACACAACGAAGTATGAATTAAAGTACAAATAAGAAACGTATTCAGTTGACTTGTATAATTAACCTACTTGTTTGCATTTCTTTCTGGAACTTTTTTGAATTCTCATTTTGCGAAATTGATTTATTGCCCTTAATACGAAAAACAAAATAAAATTTTAGTGAAAATCTCCAGCAGAATCGGATGACAAATGTGCAGTTTTAAAGAACGTCTTATATTAAATTGAATATGATGCCAAATGAATTTGCTTGCCTTAAAACAAAATTGAACGTTTGGATTCTTAATTTGAAACACAGATGCAACTGGCGAGGTAAAATTCATGTTAATATAATTGTATATGAAAGTGAAATCGGCTTCTTATTTGAAGAATTTGACCGGAAAATCCTATATATACTTCACAAATGTAGTTGTTTTATCTGCTAATAACATGCTGTCTACGAGCCGCGGCGGCAATTTCTTGTCAACAAGGGGGAATACACTTTTGCACTTACACTTACGTGGAAAGGTGGCGGACAAGCACTATATTTGGGAGGAGGGTGGAATGCACATACATTTATAGGCCTATATATTGTTAACATTTACACGCGCTGCAATAAATAATATGGGGACATCGCCTTTGGCGTTCCCTTCGTAGAAATATTGCGTTGGGGGATAGACCCCCTCCCCTACCAAGGGCGGATCCGGGGGGGGGGGGGCAAAGGGGGCCATGGCTTCGCAATAAAGGCAGGCAATGAGTACACCACCCTCTTTTCCTAAAAAAAAACATTGGTTAAAGTGGTCAGAAATTGCCTCAGATAGCACCAAGAGCATCTAGAATCAAAACATTTCGGGGCAATTAAGCGGGACCCGAACCCACGCCGTGATTTTTTTGGGACACACTTTTTGGGGACCAAATTTTTTTTGGCGCCCCCCCCCCCGAAAAAAATTGTGTTCTGGATCCGCCCTTGTCCCCAGTCCATACCAACCCGTGTTAATTTTTTAACAGATTCATAGCGGCATGATTGATTAAATACAGAGCAGCACCTTTAGTATGTGGAATCCATTACACGAAAACTGAACAGGAAAAACTGTGTATCTATGGATCAAGTTCCTTACTTGCGTCTTCGGACCTTTGTTCAAGTTGAAGTAAAAATCCCTTGCTTTCGTCGTAATAGTTTGAATAGAAATGCAGGGCTAATTCGTTGCCTCTTGAGGCAACTCTACTGGGACCATTTGACCTGCATTTGGAAAGTAAACAAATCAGTCTGTAAAGACAATATATGAGCATTAAAGAGTGTAATAAACAAGATATTTGCTCTTTCTTCTCTTTTTTTCGTTATTAACACGACTTTAAAAAGTAATTTTAACAATACAACTCATTTGAGGAGTGCTTTCTTCGTGTTTTATAGTGGGCAGCGGGGCAGGTCTCTTAGTTCCTGTGTGATACACTTGATTATAGGCACTTTGTACTTTCATTGTAACTGAATTTAAATAACAAAACCCAGTACCCACTGTCATGGCGCACCGTGCAAAGGTCTTAAACTCGGGAGATTGAGAAGATCATGTTAGTTGTATACTGGCTCACGTTAACGAAACTGAACAAATTCGATAGACGGGAATTGCTGCATAAACTATTAGCCACAAGTGTCGATCTTCTCTGGCTAGACAATCCAATCAACAGTTTTGTGTCATATCAAAGTCACAACAGCTTCTCCTTTACGAGTACCGATACCAATATTAATGAGCAAGAAACCGATTATTATCATGCATGTCGTGTTGATGTGCAATCTCATCAGTTACCCGCTTATTTTGAGGCCATCATTAAATGAACGTCCGTTGGACCACTGCAGGTAATCGTAAACACCTTCAGTCTCAAATTCGATAAATATGACCAGGATTCTGTGTTCCATGGGAGCCAGCACAACCCAATAGCATCTCATATTTGATGGGTAGTTCCCTGGCCACCCGGCCGAGGTCAAGTTGGCGTAGCCTAGCGTCATGTTGATAAGGCTGTCACCGCACGGACCTGCAATGTATAACAGCCACATTCACAGTTGAGAAATTAAGAAATACATAAACTCCAGGTGCATGGCAAGAAGCAGGGTTCGACCTTAACTTTTTTGTTCACCAGCCAGCCGGGCTACTGAAACAGACTCTTAACTAGCCAGAGGGCATGTTCACTAGACTGCATGTTTTTTTTTCCTTTATATTCTCTCTCTTTTTTTTTTATAAACAACAATGTGGCAACGTAAAACGTAAAACGTGTATAGGGCCTGAAAGTTGACCCCTGATGGCCAGGCCCGGAAAATTCGGGGGCGTACGAAAAATTTGGGGGCCTACGAAAACTTGGGGGAGGGCCTGCGAAAATACCGCAGTGTGCCATAACTGACGCTGTACAGCATGTATGCATTGGCCCTACGTATAAAATGTACGTGTAAAGTCTGTCGTTTTGAAGCACGGTGCCAACCATGGGCGTCGATTGGTGGGGAACGGGGGGACGTACTGATGTCGTTCTCCAACGTTTTTCGTCCCTGAATAAAAATACGTAGCCTACATTTGATTTTATAGCTGAGAACAGCTGATTTAATGACTCCAAACTCGAAAAAGATGTTTAAATGATGATCTTGTACTAAAACTTTGGCAGTCGTCAAAAATTGCCTCAGATCGCACCACAGCTAGGCGCCTGGAATCCAATTTTTTTCAGGGGCCCTTAAGCGGGCCCCGAACCCCGCACCGTTTAGACTTCGCACTCGCACAATTAGTACTGATCAAGATACACATGCATGTACCACCCCTTTGAGAAGCGAATGACGCCCTCGAGAATTGGTGCCAACGGGTTGTTAGAGCTAGGACCTATACCAGTTTGGCCTGGCTTGATTTGTACACCCCTCCCACCCCCCCCCCCTAACAAAAGTGTGTTCTGGATCCGTCCTTGTACCCCCACTCCCATGCAATAGGCCTAATCTATAGCCACAGATTTGTATTATGTGTTTGTTTAGACAGGGACATTCTCCGGTTCTTGTTACATGATTTTCCTAGTGTATCCAACTTAAGGCGTTGATAACTCATAACATGGTTTTGGGGAACATTCCTCATTTTGCCAAATTAGGTCACAAATGTGCCCCCTCGCGATGAAAATAAAACAGCCCTCAAACGCACTTGAAAGCATTATGATCGCGTTTAAAAATGATCTCCTCTCTTATAATGCAACAGTGCCCCTTTAAAACACAAATACCCCTCGCGCATTAACAAGATTGTGAACCTTCTCGAGATGGAAAACTATCCCTCGAAAACACGAATGACCCCTCTCGCAATACAACAATTTGTGCCCCTCTCAAAATGGAAAACTGGCCTGTAAAGAAATAATAGTGCTCCTTACGCTTGTAAAATGTAATGCAAACATTTTTAAAAGTGAATATCAATGTTGGTAGTAAATTTTGCTCTGGGTAACATGTATTCCTTACAATGTGAATGAAAATAGTTTCACAATTTTCTCCTCTTTCGCACCGACGGAAGGTGCCTTTTTTTTTAGCAAATGCCTCCTTTTGGTGATGCCCCCAGTTTTAAAAACGTTCCGCCGCCGCCGATTGGCGTATTACATGTTCAGGTGTAAGTACAAATTATACTCGCTTGCTAAGTACACAATACGACCCCAATTTAGATCGTAGTCGCCAAAGGTTCATGGATTTGTTTTGTTTCATCTCAAAGGCCTTTTCATGACCGTAGACTTGAGTCAAGGCGTATGGCAACCCGGACACGAAAAAAAGACCATGCGAGTGGCAGGCTCGTTGGCTCCGTAGGCCGTCATCAGGGGCGTAATTGCCGGGGTGGGGGTAGGGTTTGGGTATATATACCCCCACACTTTTTGACCGCGGGGATGGGCTATTGAATCATCCCCGACTTTTTTTGTGATGAAAAAAAATGAGGATTTTGAGGTTTTTTCCGGAACGTCCCAGCAACTAAAATGTATTCAATAGCACTGGAAAGATGAGAAACAAAGTACAAAAGCTTCTAAAAATGTAAGCGCGACTATACATAATTGATATTCGTCACAGTGTAATGTGGTGTCCAGCCCCCCCCCCCCCTCCCCTTCGAATGTCCATGGCCGGGCAATTCGGGCGTTTCATGTGCCACCAAGAGTTTTCTACCGAGAGTTCATTTTTCCTAGTGCATTGTGGAAGATGGTCGACAAATTCGCAGCGCGGGACATTTGAAATTGTTGGTTTTTTCCGGTCATTGGTTTCGTAAGCGTATGATTCGAGTATAAATTTGCCTTTTTCTTTTCTTTGTATCGACATGGTGTTTTTATTAAGGCGGCAGAACGCTATACCCGAATTTATAACTACTTAGCTAAAGTTGTTTAATGACACTCATTCAAATGGGCCTTGTTTTGTCGACCGTAATTTGAAAACCTGACTCTCCATGGCAAACTCTTGGTGGCCCACTGCATTGTGAATCGCCCAAATTTTATGATTTTGTCATCCCCCATCCCCCCCCCCACTCGCCAGCACAGATTTACGCCACTGGCCGTCATTGCCCTCGCGTGGTCACGATTCTAATCATGCAACCGACATTGTATTATAATGGCATCATTCTCTAGACTTAGCGTAAGTACAAGAAAAGATGAAGTTTCCCAAGCTAGCTAAGGGAGCTGAATTAGAATCAGACAAACACAATTCCCTCTTAAAATTTGTAAACGGGTCAGTAGTTTGATATAAATATAATGAGGTAGGGGAAACTTGCTAGAATTTCTCTAAATCATAGCGACATGTCAGTGCCGGCCGAGAGACGCGCGACGCGAAACAATAATTGATGAGATAGAATAAGGACGCGCTTGGTAAGGTTAATTGATCGTAGTGACTCTGAATAGTCAACTGCTCGGTACATAAGAATGATTGTAGAAAAGAGTTACGTAACAGCATTCATGTGTAAAGCACGATGCTGATGCATCTTTAGTGCAGCTATGAAACACAAAGTAACTCTCCCACTGCGGAAATAAGGATTATGTTTTAAACGCAAAGAGAAAAGCACCAACTGAAACAGCCTAGTTGTTAAGCTGTCTAACAGCGGACCCAGGGTTAGGGGTTCGAATCCGCTTGGTGTCATTTTTTGGTTTTCGATGCCCGCGATTCTGTCATTTAAGAGTATTAATTTTCCGTCGTCATTTACCAACAGCAGTTAGCTCGGTCGGTCGGTAAGCTGACTCACAAGTTGGGACTGTCTGCGAAGTCCAGGTTGGCATCTGCGTATAGGTACGGGGTTCTTTTGCTGACTCGGCAGCAAGGCTTAGGGTGCCACCTCGTTTCCTCCCTTTATGGTGCCTGACTTTCGAGTTACATGGATAGACAGGGAAGGAGGTGTGGTGGGCCGGGTACCGAGTCCCAGAAGAGTTCTATATGGAAGTCGGTAAGGGGCTCATTGAGTTAGGGTCATAAGTCCGACTCCTGAAGACTTGGCCATCGCCACATAACTTTTTGTTTTATTTTCTTTCTTTTCTATCGGATGACAATTTCAAGAATGATTAACTTGTTTTATTTAAAGCTTAATTGTACTGTAATCGTTCGAAATTAATTTTTAAAATTGGTCGAAAATACAAAATTCAATCCAGCTATAATGTTTTATTTCATTGTCGCAAAACTGCATGTACATGCTCAGTACCTTTGCGCATACCTTGCTCAGGCCTGTTCCCTGATCCCAGACTGCAGGGGGGGGGGTCTTTAAATCCTAGAGTGGATTTAAAAAAATATTTTTATATCTTTTATATGCACAGCTGCAGCTGTCAACCCCCGTACATGAAGCGACTTCGCGCGGCACAATCTTTTGACAATGTACAATCTTTTGACATAGATTTCAGAACCGGATTTTAGCTATGCGGAGTTTTGAACAGCGGTGTTTATTATTAACATTCTTATTCCCTCTTCCTTTCCCCTTCCTTTCCATTCTTCGGAACACTGGTGCCTGGGGCCTACGAAACACTTAATCCGGGCCTGGTGATGGCGCTTCAGGGCCCCTCGTAAAGAATAGTTAATGTTTAAAAGTCAGAGTTTCAAAAATTAGTTTGGTATATTGATTTCTTTAAAAAATCACCCGCGGAATTTTATGGAAACTGAACAATCGCATGATAAGAAAGAAAAATATCCTGCAAAAAATGGACCTGTCACTTCCGAAAACTTCCGTGTGGACTCGTGGAACTCGATCACTCGTTTAGGCATGAATATTCATTGAATAATTTTGTGGCTGACAAGTTTTTTTTGAAGGATTTATTTTTATTTACAAATAAATTTAAAATGACCTTTGATAAGAACTGTATTAAAACGTGATCCAAACGAAATCTAGAATCCATCAGATGTAGGTAGGTATTAAACTCTTCGCGTCGTTATCATTTCGTTCTCACGCAAGTACGCGATGTGAAACTGACGTGATCGAACAAGGAGACCTTTAGGTACGAATATAGGTCGTAGGTAAAATTCGCTTTAGTACCCATTTCCAACTGATTTCTCATCTATTCTTATAACTTAACCCGTTAAAACAGTTGATAAATTATACACAAATTGATAGGTATGATTTCTGAATTTCATGAGATATTTCTTCCTGTCCTTTCATCTTTGCCGTATCCCAATAATTTTGGACTCGCCAGCTGGGCTACTTAAGGAATAGTTTGACTAGCCCTCCGCTGTTTTGACTAGCATTTGGCTAGCGGGCTACCGCTTATTTCGAACCCTGACAAGCCTATAGAGCCTTGTATTTGATGCGATATTCTTCCAGGTGTATGCTTAAGATAACAACTTCAAGGGTAATGAATGCTGAAGGGGGTCAAGGACCAAATACTACAGAATACTGCCACATGACGAAAAGCGATATATCTAGCGCAGCGCTTTCGCCAATGATGGGGCCTTCGTGATGTAATTGGCAGCGTGCCCGGATTGATCCGTCAAATCTCTTATAGATTATATTTTACATAATTTTCCCCTTTGCCACAACTTAATTATGTAGTTAAAATCTTGTTAGATGTGAAACTGAGACTTTTTAAGACGCTAGCCAGAAAAACTCACCACAATTGAGCTCATCTGACTTATCAGAGCAGCCGGTGAATCCATTACATATATGCTCTTTCCCACGGCTTGCATATTATCTGCATGTCTATAGACATAGCCTATCAGACGTTATACAGGAGACTTGGCTCCGTGGATAACGGGTGATACTCAGACTAGGATAATGTAGCCTAGCAAGAAAAACTCACCACAATTGAGCTCATCTGACTTATCAGAGCAACTGGCGTATTCATCACAAATATGCTTCTTTTCATAGCATCCGCTCCAGCCTGTCCCACACGTAAATTCCTCCTCAGAACAACCTCCTGCAAAGGAACCCAATAGAAACCCATTAACATTATCATTTTGAATGTTTTCCATTTGTCAACTACGACAGAAAGTTCACAGCAACAACATAGTATTAGTTAAAATGTTTGGCATTGTGCACAATCTGTGAGCGATCGATTTTGTCAAGATTTTGATAAACAGGCTAGCATTCGTCGGCCAGGAGACTAAATAGATTCCTTTAGATTCAGGGGGAAAATATATTTATACATAGTTTCCTTAATTTTATTTTTTTATTTATTATTTAAGTAGGCCTAATATCCTTCCCGTCCCCTACTTGATTCGACATTTTCCTATTTTACTTTTCCCTTTTCCCTTCATCTTCCATTCTCAACCTTTTTGATGCATGTATCCATGTCTGTACTATGATAAATACATGTCTTTATACAAATATTTTATCAAAGTATGTTAAGGTTTGTAAATTATGTAAGTTGACAACTGTTGTAAATGGCCGCTATTTAGCCCTTGCTTGCTGCTAGGAGTGGTTTTAAATGAAATAAATAAACCACGAATAATAATTATAACAATTATATAAAGTAAATCATTCCTTAGGAAATGCTTATGGCCTACTCGACAACTATCCTCCACACCACCAAAACAATTTAGTCTGGTTCCCAGACCAAACGATTCTGACTATTCCTGACGAATCTTAGGTCAGGCAGCCTCCGTAGCTAAAAAAATAAACATGACGACATTGATGACCCTTTTTCAAAGCTCGGCTTCGTTTCCGATTTCGCTTTATCACTTTTAGCTTTTAATGTTCGATCTGATCAAATTTTTAAGTGAATCACTTGCCTTGTAATATCATACAGTTATGATAATACAGTTTGATGTTTCTGTAAGATAACATTGACTAATGTTGATCTGGAATCTTCAAAATTAGGCACCCAAATAGCACTGTTAGCAGGCGGAGCCGAATGAAGACCAAGTTTTGGAAAATCTCAGTAACGGTTGTCAAATTTAAAATTGTACATGACGCAGCAAAAAGTTCGCCCATACGATTCGAGCGTATACGATCCGAGTATATTTGATGCACAAAATCGTCGTTGAATTTCAAGTTTTCTAAATGAAAGCAATGAATATTAATTATCAACTCATTTAAAAAAAATAATAATAAGCAATTAGCAGTTAATTAAACCTATATTATATTCGGAAATACTCGGGCGCTATCCGATTGTCGACGAAACGAATTCGGCAAACTCCGGAAATTTTCGGAAAAAGGAGGAATTCCTCCCGTTTTAGTCACATGAGGTAAATTGTAATACAATGTATTACCGGAGGCTACCGGACCTAAGATTCATCGGGAATAGTCAGAATCTTTTGGTCTAGGAACCAGACTACAAAACAATTTTACATTGATGTAAAATACAACCTGTATCACATAAACACAAGTCGGAATAAATTTAATATTCTTTGAGACACTTACTACATCCAAATTCGTCCTCGTACTCAGGGCAGTCTGGCCAGCCATCGCAGACAGCGGATTGGTCGATACACGTTCTCCCAGAGGGACACTTATACTCTCCATTTTGGCACACTGCCAAAATACACAAGGCTTAATGTTATTTTCACATGTACGAATGGTCCTATACTTTTTGTTTACCAATCGCAGCGTTTCAATTTGCAATGCACATAGTATATTTAACCAATTTGGCAAGACCTCTTTCAATTTAAACCCAATTTTCAGCTTAGAGTCGGATTTTGGGACCATGTGAAGACCAGTCCTGATAACAATTCAAAATCTGTCTTGTCAAACGTTCTTTATACGTATATGCCAAAAACGCTACACTGCAACTTCATTTTATAATAATTTTTTAAGGACCGAGTTTTTTTTCCAGAGAGGATCGGACATTTCTGGATAAACCTATTGAGTAGAAATTTCCGGGCAAAATGCAAATATTTTACTTTCGCTGTACCTGATGCACAGTGAAAGAGGATTTCAGACCGTCTTCCAGTGCCGCAACTGACATCCATACGAGCACCCCGACCTACAATATACAGTCACTTTATATCATAGAGCTATATTAAATTACTAAAGCGCTAACTTGATGTACAAAGTAATGCCTGATGGGCGCATCCATGTTTGTACACAAACGGATAGAGAACTAGAAATTGTGTACGTATTTTGTACGTCTGCGTTTGTATTCCATACCGGTGCGTTATCGAAGCCGATACGCCCAAAACCGAAACGCACGATCAGCAAATGAGCGTTTCATTTTGCTCTACGCAAACAGCGCAACGCGTGCGCGTATTCGCTGCAGATGCTTTTTGCCGTGACGTTTTTGAACTGTCATGACGCGTTTAAGTTGTTTGCGTATGTTCTACTTGCGCGTTGAATGTAGAGTGCACTTTCAAAATTCAATCCATCTAATTTCATTATGTTCTACAAACACGCACATAAATTCAAAATGTCTGCGCCCAGGACGGCTTCAAAGCGTCTCCGCGCGCAAGAATGAGGAAGTAGCGCTCTAGTAATTTAATATTATACAAATAATGAATGTTTGTGAGTGCAATGGTAAGAGCAATTTCATGAGGTGACAGATGAAATGTGCCGAGTGGAACGGAACATTTCATCTGTCACCGAATGAAATTATTCTTTCCATTGCACGAACGTGAAACATTCATTATTTTTTTATATAACGCCTGAATAAATCCTTGTCATCTGATTGGTTGACTTTTAATAGCCAATTTATTCAGGTTAAAAACTGTTTGATAGTTTGACAAGGAAGTTCATCATATTTAATTTATGCAAACTGTTCAACGGGTTGAGAACCATCAAATTCAAGTAAGCTCGATTTAAAACAGCGCCACTGCCAGCAGCGATGACACCGTGCAATGGAAGTTCTATTCACCGTGCAATGGAACTTCCATTGCACGGTGCGCTGCGCGCCGCGCGCGCGCCGTGCGTTTGGACGAATATTTCAATAACATGTGATCAATGATCCACCAATCAGATGACGGGGATTTATTCAGGTGTTGTATAAAGCTGACGGGGATTTATTCAGGTGTTGTATTATACAAATATTGAATGCTTCGAGTGGTGTAGTAAAAGTAGCCTCCCGGGGTGATCCATGGACATAATGATCCATGGATCACCGAGGGAGGCTAGTTTTACTTCACCACGAGATAAAGCATTCAATATTTGTTTTATAACACTTCACCCACAGATTCTGCTTGGTTTTAATATTTTAAATTATTTAAATCTGAACACAGTTGAAATAAACTTCAATTTCAATACAAAATTGGTGAAAAATGTATTTCTCTCTTCCAAACTACCCCTTCGCGAAATGTTTGAACCCAACTCTGTGGCGTGCTCTCTTTGGAACAAAACGCGCTATGCGCAACGCGCACACCAGCATGCATTTGCACACAAATACCGCGCCGTGGGAAAAGTACTTTGGTTGCTAATGGTATAGTTCTTTGGTTGCTACGGGTATTGTACTTTTGGCCGTGCACAGAAAGATAGCAAAAATAGAAAGTATCATGTGACTAGCTCTCGACCAATCAAGACACAGAATCTGTGGGTGAGGTGTTATAAAAAGCTTTATAACACCTCACCCACAGATTCTGTGTCTTGATTGGCCGAGAGCGAGTCACATGTTACTTTCTAATTTTGCTATCTTTCTGTGCACGGCCAAAAGTACTATACCCGTAGCAACCAAAGTACTATACCATTGGCAACCACTATTTCCACAGCGCGGTATTTGTGTGCAAATGGATGCTTGTGTGCGCGTTGCGCGTTGCGCGTAGCGCGTATTGTTCCAAAGAGAGACCGCCGCAGACTTGGGTTGAAACATTTCGTAAAGGGGTAGTTTGGAAGAGAGAAATACATTTTCCACCAATTTTGTATTGAAATTGAAGTTTATTTCAACTGTGTTCAGATATAAATAATTTAAAATATTTAAATCAAGCAGAATCTGTGGGTGAAGTGTTATAAAACAAATATTGAATGCTTTAGCTCGTGGTGAAGTAAAACTAGCCTCCCTCGATGATCCATGGAGCATTCTATTTTCCCTCGGCTTCGCCTCGGGAAAATAGAATGTCCATGGATCACCTCGGGAGGCTAGTTTTACTACACCACTCGAAGCATTCAATATCTGTATACAATGATTTATATGGACTTTATACCCTGCAGAGTCGGTCGGCAATATTTCTTTTACCTTTACTTACCAACATCCACGAACTGACTGAGTGTAAGCGTAATATCCCAGTTATCAACATAAGGGTAGCCGGTGTTCTTTATCCATAGTGCGGGGCCACTCGAAGAAATATGTCGGCGGAATATTCTATCATAAGATGCAAAGTCGGCAAGTTCCGTACATTGGCTTCGGTTGCTGTCTCTAACAAAGTCTCCATAATTCCCATCGCAGAAGGTGGTGGGTGCATATCGCAAGGTCAGAACGGTGATTAGAATTCGTGTAGACGGTTCAGCGGTAACAGTCCACACACAGTCGTACCTGCGATCTACGTCAAATGCTGCCGTGAAAAATCGGCTAACTGAAGCATTCAATGCTATATTTGGGTCCCCGCAGAGACCTGCAATTGTGAAATAAGCATTTGTAAGAGTCTTTTATCAATGGGTTGAAAAAAAATATATCGCTGATTGTCATTTGTTCGAAGAGAACTATAGCGCAGTTCCAGACAAGAAAGTATTAAACATCGGTCATCTTGATATTTTTCGCGGCACGGAAAGTGTGGTAGACTAAAATTGAGTTGTAAGGGTCATGACATTTCCATCCAGGCATATATTTTATGGAGGCTAACGGTAGTGGATCCAGAAATGTTTGCAGGGAGGTGTGCTAAAATGTAGACCGTTTTTTTCCCCCTCCGGACACTCGGGGGGGGGGGGGGGACTCGTACCACATTTCTAATGGGGAGCGTTGATCAAATCATACTATCATGCACACTATACGTATTTATTATCAATACAATTTTCCACAGTTTTCAACATGAAGGGGGAGGGTTTGACATATGTTTTTTGGGGGGCGATTGTTTTGTTGTTCTTGTTGTTGTTGTTGTTGTTGTTTTTTGGGTGGGGGGGGGCTAAACAAAGTTTGGGGGCTACAGCCCCCAGCCCCCCCCCCCCTCATGAAACCGCGCCTGCAAACTCTTGGCCCAAACTAGAGCATCGTCCGAAGTATAGACCAATCCGGACACACGTCACTTCTATCACAGAGGCTCCTTCAATGGCAAATGCATTGTGCTAGTTTTTGGTCAGGATAAGAGCTAGCACAATGCTTTCGCCATTAAAGGGGGACTCCGTGTGTGCAAAGTGATCATGCACTGGGCATGTCTGGATTCGTTTAGAGCTGGGACGGTCAAACAAAATTACTGAAAGTTGATCATAACACACAAAACTGTTTAGCTGGACTTACCACAGTTGTATACATCATTCAGCTTCGGGCAGTCGGAGTACCGATCGCACACTTTTTCGATCCGTATGCACTCTCCTGTTGAACAAGCAAATTCTTCTTCCTGGCAACTTGCTATCGAAACGAAAGCCATGACATATTGTCGTTATCAAGTGGCGTCTCAAAAGTCACTTCTGGTTTTTAGTTATCTTTTTAAACTGGTAAGAGAGTTGGTTTTATTTATACATGGGGCTTTCATCCAATAGCACATCTGAAAACATAAACTTTTTTTTTTATCTGAAGCCTACAGTAGATACAATACTGTTGCGCGTTTTCGTTTTCATCTGATTTGACATGAGGTGTATATAAAAGATTGAATGAGGTATAAGTAGGCCTTTACTTACTGCAATTGAGTTCATCTGAATAAGTTGGACACTCGTGAATCCCGTTGCAGACCGAAGATTGTTCCAGGCACTTAGTCCCTGAAGAACATGCAAACTGGCCCTCGTCACAATCTGAAAACGAAAGCAATTTCAAACATGTCAATAATTCTGTTATTCATCCTAACCGGACAAAATTCACTTTACTCAATGCTCCTTTGCAATCGAATCCCCCGAAAAAAAATAGAAGTATGGGTTTCCTGAATGGGTACACAATATTTTGGGGGCTAATTATCCGTTGAAAAAGGGACAGAATATCCATATCCTGAAGGGGGCACTATTTCCCTGGAAACAATTGTCTATAGAGGACACAGAACCACACAAAATCAGGGAAATCCGTCCAGGGAAAAAAGTATGCAATTTATGACACATGCTACTGAATAAAAAGTTGCACTTTTGTATACGTGCAAGGTGAGTGTGAACCACAACTTGCACGTGTACAAAAGTGCAACTGTTTTCGGTATCATTTGTCATGAATTGCATAATTTCGTACCCATTATCACTGCTTTGGACCAAACAAAGAGTATGGCTGGATTGCTAAGGAAATTCTGTACTGTTTAGTCGTTATTTGAGCGAGAGGTGCTCTGTAGTTTTTTAGTTAGACAATAAAGTATTGGAGGGGGGCTTTCTTTTTTGGTTGAGTGTAGTTCCCGATACTGCTTACCGATACTTGCGAAGCTACGGAGGGTAAACTGTAGCTGGTAAGGTTCCCAATCGTAACTGTACAAACCAGTTGTTATCCACAAAGCTGAACCCGAAGAAAATAGTTTCCTGTAAAACAACCAAATCCAAGAATGGGACAAAATGGGCACGCCCTCACTTGGGTCGTGGCCGTTACCAATGCGTAGATTGTTACCGGCAAACTTGGCAACATTGATCTCTATTACATTTCCTATTGACGATGAAACCTTCCACACGCACTCGCTGATGTTTGATGAAGTGTTAGCGATAACCAGGGGGATATCTTGGTTGCGGTGTACGTAAACTGTAACAAGCTGCTGACGGGGCCTAGGATTGACAACTTCCACTGTTACCACTTCTGTGTGAGTTGACAGATTCAAGTTGGTCGTTCCACAAAAACCTGCATTTAGGGGACAAAATAAGATTAAATCTAATCTGGAATTGTTTAACAATATCAAATGCATTTTTTCCTTCATCTCAATGGCAACTATACTCCAAAATTAATGTGTGCAACGCTCCTGACCTTGTCCGTATGTTTTTAAATAGTTTGTATTTAAATAATTTTCCGTCGAAAAAAAAGGCATAATCTAGCAGTTCCCTATTGAAACATGGTCAAAAAAATCCTGGTGAATCCACTTCTAGCCTGGGTTGAAGTCATGACCCAGATTTTACGATCCAAACTCCAGACCAAGGCCAACTTCCATAGAATTTGTCCAAAATATTATCACGCAAGTCTTACCACAAGTCAATCATCCTGTCATTATGGTCCCAGTCCTGAAGCCTATACGATCTATTGTCTTATATTCTTTTCTGTACATTATATTCTGTAGACCTTCTCAAGGGATTTGAGCAATGCCAATAAATGCGGATTTGGGTAACATTTTTTTCTTGGGCTCAAAGGGCTTCTATCCACCTATTTTAAACAACCTTGAGAATGGATGTGTTCACCAAAACGTCTACTGAAAGGATTTTGTTCACATTCACAATTCATACACCATCGTACTGAATAGTAAAGTACCGTGGTGTGAAAATGCTTGCATTTTGCAATGGTACCTCACAGGGTTTAAACTAATAAAACATAGAAACATCTCCAAAATGAGAAAATAATTATAATAACAACGGCTCAAGATATCTTTCAAGTGGTGATTCTGCAGAAGGTACTTATAATACATTTGTCATTTTCACAAATAAAGAGAGATAATCAACCAAAGAGAGACTCCTCTCACGAGTGCAGCAAGTGAATTTATTTTACCGCAATCCACTTCATCTGAGTAGTCTGGTAGATCTGCTCTACCGTCACATCGTGCACTGCCAGGCACGCACTTGGAGCCACTCTGAAGACTCTGGGCGTCACAAGAACCTTGCAAATGAAATACAAAACATAGGTCTTAAATCAAGCCTCCATCCGTGAAAGACGGGAAGTCGAGGAAACATGGAATGGCCTTACGTGTGGCCGTTCATTCTTGGTTGTTCAATTTTAAAGGGAATATACAACATTTGCAAACATAAAAAAAAACCAATTTATCACAAAATACCTCACTGGACTGTTAGTGAATGACACTCTCTAGCATCCTGTAAAATCATGGCACCAGGTGTGCTGACGTTTTCAAGAAAAGTTGTATTTGTGTATCAATTTCCAACGCTGGTCCGACCAGCGTTCAAACACTGCCCCAAATTTATCATACTTAGTTAGTCCACATTTTCCCTGTAATCGATCACGTACCTGTGAAGCCAGCTAGACCGATTCCCTGACCTTGCAATTCCCCGACGTCTATATATTGCTCCGTTTCATCTTAATTCGGGGAACCAAACTACAAGAACATGATTCTTTTTTCTAGGTTTTTCCAGCATCTACGAACCCAAAACGTCAAACAAGTCAGCGTGACAATATTTGCCATAAAATACTAACCCCCAAATCCATCCATTTCTGAAAATTACAGCAAAGGCAAATGTTGTATATTCCATTTAACTGGAGTAGTAGCTTTTGTGTGCGTCACATGCTGCGAAGCAGCTGCTGTTTTCTTGCCTCTGAACACACAACATACTTTTAAAACTATCGAGTCAGATTCGACCCGCAATCCGGGTCAGATTTAGCCTGACACATTCCTGGGTCGAAATGACACTACTCCGCGTCACTTTTCCGGGCCATTTAACTTGAAAAGTGTAGTTTTGACAAGAAAAAATATCCATTTTGTCCAAGAAAAGAGTCAGGTCGAAATTCGGTAGCCCGTACGCCCCTGCAGAACTTCTTAATCGGAAAGCTCACCTTTGACCGTTCCAGCATTAAGCCTGACCTCAAAATCGATTTCATTCCAGAAGGAACGTGTTACCATCCACACCTGACTTCCATCAAAGAGATATAAGGTTCCAGCAACTTGTACGTTTATTTCGTTAGCGACCAGGGAGGATAGAGAATACACTTCATCCCCGTTCCCAAAGGCTGCGTAGCTCTGATATCCAATTTCCATCTTAAGAACCTCCATGGTGAGGAAAGTGTTAGGGTCACTTGTAATTTGCCAAACGCACACGTATATGCCATTTTGGGTTGGCGGCATCGATATTACGACGGAGACGTTGACATGAACTAGACGTGGACCGCACGTAGTATCTGTTCCAAAAGACATGAACAGCAAACCATAAAAAAAATGTGGACATGGTGTCATTTCTTGTAAACTGTACGTTATGTTTTTAAATGGAATATGGGGATAATTAATTTGAATGCCCAATCTGGTTTTGTCCAGTGAGTTACAAGCACGGTATCCAGAACATATCTTTCATGCGTCCAACCTATTTTTGACGAAACACCGAAAGTGTTTCGTCAAACCTAGTTCTTTGACAAAACAGTGTGAAGTTTCATTGCTTGACATTCTTCTGAAGTTTATGCATGACGACTTAACGTGCAACTAGTACATGTACAGAGACATCATCAGAACAGCACAATAACACCTCTAGATTTATCTCTTCACATGGGCTATGGTTAATGTGATTTTTAAAAAAAAGTCTTACAGCAGTCCCATTCATCTTCAAAGTTGCCACAATCATTGTAACTGTCACAGATCTGCTGACTATCCACACATGCGCCCTGATGACCACACAAGTACTGGTCTTTGCTGCACGTTACTGTTCATAAAGAAAACATATCAGTGTGAAATATAAAAAGAAACCCTGTTTACTACTCTTACGGGTGCCCCATCAGAACAGCACTTGACAGGATTTGAGCAGCATGGCGTATTCAAGATTAATAGGGGGGACAGAACTATATCCTTCAGTTTGAACTATTTCAGTTTGGCAGTGAGTGTGGCCCGACAAGCGGTGGGTAAGAAGTTGCAACTGTTTACCAGTTGAATTTCAGCGCTTATTTTAAGGGATGGTCCTCTTTGGAACCAAATGTCACCTAAAAGCTTATAACTCCCAATAACCTGTACCAAAAGGAGAATACGAAGAGTAGATCTACGTTCCCTTTCATCAACAGACTTTTTACTTACAGCATCCCAACTCGTCTGAATAATCGTTGCAGTCGCGTACAGAATCACAGCGTAGGTCGGCAGCTACGCACTGCACTCCAGACGAACAGGCGAATTCGGTTGTGGTGTTGCATTGCACTGTAGATTGACAACAGTGTGACAATGAAGTGAGGAGGATGAAGTATATTGATGTCTGCAAGTTTATTCACGTACTTTCACAAGCATTGTCGAGAGGTGAAGTGCCCACATGCCCCTTCACTCCCCCGATACTCGTGTTTTAGGCCCATGCGTCCACAGTTAGTGACCTCGACCGCTTAAATGTAAATCATTACTATGATCGATCAGCAGAAGGAGGCAGTATAAGCAGGAGGTCTTAGGTTCGAGCCCCACCTAGACTGCAAAAACTGCTAAATCTACTAAACACTTTCTTGCTATCAGTTTGTTGTAAACATGTGTAAATACATGTTTAGAGTAAGGATGTATAGTGTTTAGCAATTGAACATTGATGGTTAGGAATCGACCACGTTAAGAAGCTAAACATGTTTACAAAGTGATAGCAAGATTGTGTTTAATTGCTAAACACAGTGTTCATAGTGTAACATAAGTAAGCTTGTCCATGTTTTCTCGTAAGCACTCGGAAAACACCGAGTATACATTGTTTAAACACAATCAAAAGGGAAAACAGGATCCAAAAACGCACAACGTATATAACAGCATAGGCGCATTAGGCCTAGCTTTAGTAACGAAGAATTGCCTTCTGCTAGTAAAGTGCGGCAGTAATAACTGTGTCTGCTTTATTAACATTGACCGATTATTAACATTAACCGTCGAGCGATGTGACCCGAGTGTAATGCGCACGCATTTTCCTACTCTTGACAATATCTTGAGCGTATCAAGAGTAACGCGAACGCAGCCATTAAGATGTTTATGGTATGAACTCTTTGCACGAGTACCCCTTCAACGGTATTAAACAAAAGAAAAGTTGGGGAGACCATTAGGAGGGACGCGTAAATTTTATTCCTAGGAGGGTTAGGGGCAATGTCATGAATAATTCATGTTTATCCATGAGAACGGACAATGACATCAACAGCATTGTTGTTAGTTACTCAACTAGTTACAATACATTAAAGCATTTTAAAGAACGGTTGTCGTCGAGCTACCACACAGTAGCCTAGTGGATAGCGAGATGAGCTATGGATAGAAAGATCCCTGGTTCGAATCCACGTCGTCGCTGCTCATTTTCATCAGCTATTTTTCTTCTCCAAATTTATCACTGAGATAATTTTAAATTAAGGGGAAAATAGAACGACAACCTAAGTCTTGCAATGATTCAAAGGAAAAACTGAATTATTCATGACATTGCCCCTAACCCTCCTAGGAAAAAAAATACGCAGGAGGGACCCTTGGCCATATTAGGGAGGTTTCGCAAGCGAACGGATACGCTTACACTTACGTTTAGCTATCCGTATCCGTGTTTTACTTACGTGTAGCGAGCGAGGTATGCGTGTCGTCTGCACGTATGACGTCATACGCCACTCACTATCCGCTAAACGTGCAGACGACACGCATATCTTGCTCGCTTCACGTAAGTAAAAAACGGATACAGATAGCTAAGCGTAAGTGTAAGCGTATCCGTTCGCTTGCGAAACCTCCCTAAATATTACCGACAACGCCTGACGCTCACGCGAAGACGTCACGGGTTTGTGCATACATGTAATAATTCTTTCATACTCTGCACCATACGCGCGCAAAGCTGCAGTACCCGCAAACGATGGGACCACGTCCAGACTGTCCATTTTCGCACATGTGGCACATACTCCAATTTGTATGAAACCCAAGGTAGGTCTAGTTTTTGGTGCATTCTGCATTTCATATTTTTATGCAACCGCAGGCCCATCAAACAAAATATCGGGTGTTAAAAAGCAAAAGGCTAGTCTTATTACTGTATAGGCCTATGTCTACCTTAACACACCGAACTTAACTAAAAGCATTTAAAAAGCGGCAACAAGACTGGTGTTTTACTCACCTACCTCACTTAGTTGTGTGATTTCGAAAGAGAAGTTGTTATTGGATACAGCGCACGGTATCCAAGCCTTTCCCGAATGAACCGTAATAACCTGGGGAATCGTGCCCGTTGATTTGTTAATGATTGTCGAGCTCTCGTTACTTGGGTCGTGGCCAGAGCCTACAAGGATGTTCCCTAAAATGATGAGTGATGTATCGCTGACGCGGATGTTGATGAGGTGGCCAGGAGAAGCATAGACCAACCACACACAGAACATTGAATCTGTGGTGCGTGGTAAGGTCAGCTGGTAGATACCACCGTCAGATACATTAACAGGTGGACCACATATAGCTGTTACCATAAAACAAGGAAACACAAAGAAAACATTCAATTCTAAGAGAGAGCGGGCAACTTTTGGTAAGTTAAGTAACTTTTGGTAAGGTAGAAGAGTAGGCCTACGTTGCCTTGACTGACAAACATGTCTAATATCGTGTTTTCACAATCGAGTGCGGATATGCAGTCCAATTTACAACCTATATCTTTTGGGATCAAGAACTCATGATCAATGTATAAATAAGGGAATGAACATGTTTAAAACCGGCTAAGGGCCTGGTCATGATAAAGGCCATGATGAAGGAAGTATTATCGTGACATAATTTAAAAATTTGCAATGAATATGTAAAAAAATAAATGGTTATAATCAGTTTATTTACAAAGCGTCTCTCGTTTTCGTAGCGGCAAACACAATTGCATTTCAAGACGATTTTTACCTGGCTTTTTTTCTGATGGCCATTAGACAAAAACTCACCACAATTCAGTTCATCGTACATATTTTTACAATCTGGTTCCAGGTCACATATATTATAGTCACTGCTCACGCACTTTGACTGTCCGTCAGACGTCAAACACCGAAATCTGTTTGAACGACATTCCCCTAGTGAAGAGAGAAAACATTGAAATGCCTTTAAGAGCGGCCTCAACATCGGCATTTCTGTTCTGGCTAATGCTATATAAGTCCCGCATGAGAAGCTACAGGCGCATTCTTGAGTTCGTGAAGGACCGCCGAGCGGTTGACTTATGGTTAAATCGTGGCGTATGTTGCCAAGATTTTCACACCTTTTACGATATTTGTGATATATAGTTCTATTATTCAGGCCCACGTAAAGAAACCATTCTTTAAACCTCTTTACATGTATTTACCACATCCTATTTCATCTGCTTTGCTGTCACAATCTGGGAATCCGTCGCATCTCTTGCTGATCGGGATGCAGACATTATCGGGCTCACAGTTGAATTCCGTCCCATTCTCACAGGACACTTAGAGATTGGTCAAGACAAAAATGAATCGTTACATTCAGTTTGCCTAGTAGGAAAATTGTAATGTACGCAGTTGGCATAGTGATTGACTAAGAACTAGTCGATTGGAGCCTACTAAAACACTCTTGCACATATAAGAAAGTGGAAAACAGAACAGGCAAGCTACATCTTCGTACCTGGATATTCAGATTCAACCCGCAAGTGGAGTCGACCAGGATAGTCGAAGTTACTCTTGATGAAGGTAATTTGGACCGCCGAGTTGGTAATCGACATACTCGGTTCCTTTAGTTTTCCATTGTACATTGCAACTGTCTCTGACCCCACTGTGAAACTTAAGACAAACGCATCTAGGTATGGATGTGTCGTTGGAACCAAGAAGCGAATTCGGATAACTTGGTCGCTACTGGCTTGCACTGTCCAGGAACAGTTGGCACTTGTGGATGTTAGGCTGGTTGGATCTCCTCTCAGCCGACCGCCTGGATACTTGATGTCGTATGACGAGTTTCTCGCCGAAAGAATGATCGGGTAATCGTCGTCGCAGTAATCTGACATTTAAACATTAAGAAGTAATTACAGCGATGTAAGGCGTACCACTGATGTACAGTGCCAATGAAAAGAGCAGGGATGTGCGAAGTGGTTGCTATAGCTGCAGTCACTGTTCTAATTATTGTGGATATTCGAGGTCTTTGTCAGTATGGTCGTCGCTTTCTAGCATGTTATTTCCATTCAATGACTTCACTTGCAATTCTGTATTTACCAGTTGAGAATATAATAGCTATATGTTATTGGATACGGTGTACTTTATTATTGATGAATGAACTAACAAAATGTACTTGCACATTGAACTGGAGGTAGGCTACTTCCCGATAAGCAAAGATTGAGTTTGGCATACCGTAAACTAGCCAAAGGACTAGACGGGAAGCTGGGCGGGAGAAGGGGCGAAGATACGGAATAAGGGACTGGACTAGGACAACAAGAGTTCATAACGATAATAAACTACTTGTAATTAGAAAATAGCTTCAGTGACCGTTTAAAGGTGCTAATTGTGCGGATCGTCTGATCAAACGAAGCAGCTTGGTGTGAAATCGGCGCTATAGCATTGAATACTCCGTGAAATATTATTCATGTAAATAACTGTACTTTATGTTTTCAGAAAACTACTGTGCATGTGTTTGCAAACGCTGTAAAATTACAGCAAAATTGCTTGCGAGGTCGCTATCTTGCACAATCGTGCTAGATTGATTACTTAGCCAACTCACCACAGTCCTCCTCATCATGTGGTGATGAGTCGCAGTCTTGACGCCCATCACATACAATGGTAGAATCGTAACATATTGACTCACCACACTTGAATTCATCAGGTCGACAGGTTACTTGTATCATGAAAAATAAAGGGAGGGGTTGCAGTCAATATTTTATTTTTTTCAAAATTAATTTATTGAAAAAGCGAGACTACCGGTATATATTATGTAAAACAAAAGGAGAAAGTTTATATTTATTATCAGGTTTAGTGTATATAAATTAACATCCCTTCATAGGAAATAAATCTCTTGTGAGCTTGAGCTCCTTGCGAAACGATGCGAGTTGAAATCTAAGAAATGAAGTGTTTCACACTGTAATATTTTGTGTGTCGATTATTATATCGTCTTAATGAATCGATATCGGCGAAATGTCAACAAAGTTGAGTAACGTGATAATGCTTGGATGTACCTAGTGAACTGGTGATAAAAAGCAAAATGACAAAAGAAAACAAGTTACCAACGACCTTGAGATCGTGTGACCCGTGACGTCATACCATCCAGGTATTTTTCTCTCTTTTGACATATACATGCAGCTAATTTCAACAGCTTAAATCCGCCCGCAAAGCAACGTAGGATCATATGCAATTACCTGGAAAATACAATTTTAATGACAGAAACTCTGTACTGCTCCAAGTGGAGATACCCTGTGAAATTATTCCGGCTGAATGGTACCGTCAAAGGGCCCATGTAATCTTTATTATTTTTAATGCAATCCTTGAAAATGTACCTTTGTGTCCCACCGGTAACTTTATTTTAAATTTTTTATTTTACCATTTTCAAGGGTATTTTGGTGCCTTTTTGGTTTTTATGCTAAGAGCGAATTTCCGTATTCATGAGAAAAACTCACGGTGATGTCATTTTGGGCAAAAACTCAATGTTGTATTATTTTCAGCGCCAAAAGTGGCCAAAATTTTGGATATTTTACTGTCGTAAATTTTATTTTCTTTGGTGATTCGTTGTTGTTTCAGTACATGACAGTAAGCAAATGAGCAAACTCTTCTCCGAAATGTAATTTTCTTGAGCAAATTCTTGGGTGCACAATTTGAACAGAATACCCCTTAAATGAACAGTGTCTTCCTAAAGGTAAATCACCGCTTAAACCCTCAGTTCTGAGGAAAAACATGGAAACATTTTAAATGTTTAAAGAAGTGCGCTTTTCAGTCAAATTAAACCAAAAGGGACGTTAAATACTTTTCATTCATTTCAAAGGAGTAGGAAATTGCACACAATATTTTTTTTTTGAAGTATTATTCATGCCATGTTTCCCTTTAGAAGAAAGTCATCACTGAAAGCGGTTTCAAAATAGGGTGCAGGCGGGCTTAATTTAAAAGTTTCACGAGGCGTGTTTTCTGTTTTCTCAAAATGTATAGTGATTGAGAGAACATTCAAGATATAGTGGTTATGCACCCTACTTATGATTTTGAGCAATGAAACAGCTCCAAACCTCTTAATGATCCTATGTACTTCAACTGAAAACACAAGTGCAGAACCAGTGCGGAATCGCCACATTGGAACAAAAACGAGGCTTTATGTTGCAACAAAAATAGAACAAGGAAACAAACATCTGCGGCGTCGTTGCCATGTAGGTTGTCGAACTAGGATTAGGTGGAACTCGTCTTAGTGGCCGAAGCCTTCTTGCGCAGTCTGTCTTTCAAACAAACCGATTAAAGTGTCCCTAAAGTGGTTTGATTTTCCCGGTGCAAGTCAGCATGGATTGACCACAACACGCAGTTTTTGCACCCAAATAGAATTGCTCTAATGTTGGTTTCCATACGGATCCTATAGTTTCTTAATTAAAAGGTCAGAATAGGGCAAAAGCAATATGGTGTAAGACATCTTTTATCCTAACAAGCCTTTTTATTTCTTAACAAAAGGGGAACATTGCATTCTGTTGAAAAAAATTATACTTAGAGTAAAACTAGGGACCAGACGATTTATAATGTGCAAATAACTGTAATTTTAGATCAGAATACTCCGGGGGAAAAAGGGAATAAATCTGGTGGAAATACAATTGAAAGCTCAACCTTTTCGTTTGAATGAGCTACTCATTAAGTAAAAACAAACGATGATACTAAAAGCAACTAGCCGTGAGTATCATAGTTTGGACACAAATTCTGCTTTTCTGAATACGGATCGCAAGCGGCAAACATTTCAGACCAAACACGTTTTGTTCTGTCGGGGTTGATAAACGGCGGCACTTTTACCTAATTACGGTGGCGGTGCTGATGGTGTTTTTCAAAGACATGATGGATTGTTTGAAGGTTATCAATCAGATCAGCTTTGCGCCTAATTCAATGTCAATAACAGATCTAGATCCAAACGTGGGCGAATGGTCAGAGGGCGAATACTTCCGTCATTCTAATAACGTACAGTCAAGATGAAAGAGCAACCGATCGGTAGTGATCTGCCTGCTAAATTAATGTGTTTTGTCTTTCACAGGATAATCAGAACATAAGGAGAAAATAGCTTCCGTCACCTGCACTCTGTACTATCAGGAAACCAAAGCCAAACTCACGCAGCCCAGAGGTTCACACACTTAAAGTTACTTAGGAAGGGAAGGGGTTTTGTGGACTTCTGTAGTTTCTTTGTGCATGTGTAATGCCATCCCTGGATAGCAGTTTGCCAATTGAAAAATGAACAAAGTCAAATTAAATTAGAGTTGAATCGATCGAAACCAAACAAGTGGGAGAACTTCAATTTGTTTACGTGTGTGGTTATTCGCCAAGTCACCATAACCAAAATTGTGTATGAATGTTAAGTGCATCTCGTAAGGCTTGGTATTATCATTGGGTTGATAGAACCTCCGAAGGATGTGTACAATTTGAGCGCACTTTTCGCTCGTACCCCCGCCCTGCAAACAGGACGCTGGGATACGCTGATGAGTTCACGCTCTGATTGGATAGATTTTGCGTGACCTGTGACCTGTGACATGCAAGTCATCACGGCCACGACTCTGCGATGAGCTTTTAACGACCGTTAAGACTGAGTCATCACTCTTTTTCCCAATCATAATTGGGGGGGGGGGTTTCCGCTAAAAAGCGTAATAATGTAGGAAATTTTTTAAAACTTATCTGTTTTGTAAATTTTCAATTCTCGTCACTTGCTCAGGCTCCGTTTCGAATTCACGAAGGGTATATGCGACGCTCAAAATGTGTCCACATGGTCCACAATGACAAATAAATCACATCCGGTGCGGAATGTATGCATTTCTATGAGGAAGATTTCGGATAGCATTTGCCTGCATCGGCTAACTGTGGTCTTGAGCAGCTGCAGCCAGATGCTTTATTCATAGGTCATGACAAATTACCCAGTATGCCACTCCCACTTTCTTCACAAAATTCTGTGAAGCTCATCAGCTTATCCAGCGTTGGCCAAGTTAGAGCAAGAACTATTGTTAACCATTAGTTCGACTAAGTTAGCCCGAACTCTGTCTAGTCGACGATAGTTGGACGATTCTAGTCAATTATTCAGGACCAGCATAGCCACGATTTATAGCTGGTCAACAATAGCAATTTCCATAGCATGCTGAAGGGGAAACCAACTATCAACAAAAATGGCGGAAACGAAACTTTGAGCGTTACATTTCACTTTCATTGCACAGTTTTTCCACGTTTGTTTACGATTATGTCACTTTTGTCACCATTGTACAATAATATTGGCGATTATGTAAGATGTACGTTCTAAACTAATTACTATTATTTGTGTAAATAAAGAGAAACACAAGTGTTGCATAATTGTGCAATCGCCATTTTCTGACGGTCGTTGACATGACAATAGTTCGACTTGAATCGTTAGCACTTCATCTTCAGTGCGCATGCGCTAGGTACGTCACGAACCAACCACTGGTCAACCACTGGTCCTTGCTCGAACTTGACCGTTGCTGCATTTTGGTCAGTGGCTATATAGGCCTACGCAACTGGTTCTGACGTGTGTTCCCAAACTTCAATCCACACTCCCGGCTTCAAGATCATCGCCCTGATTACCCGACGTCACGTGATTAAAGTTCATTATTGTCATATCCATCATTGTACTTGCTGATTGCACCTTTTCATATAATTGTTGCTCGTGTAGGCTAAACATTAGTATAAGACTAACCATTCATACATAACATACGTACGTACAGTTCCCATTATAACCCTGGCTTTCGTTGCTGTATATTTGAAAGCACAGCTTGTCATGGTTGTCACTGAGACTTAAATTAATTAATAAGTTGCTCTCGTGGGACAAATAGACCTAGATCTCAATTTAGTGTTATTTTGCTCCCAGTTTTCGCTCCACTAATTGAAACTGACGGATCCATTACAGAGCACGCTCGGAACCAAAGACGGCTAATGATGACAAGACATTACATCGTTCTGTTTTGCTTTTCCAATTATTTGCCCCATCTGTCTTAGTTGTGACTTCCGTAATTATTACTCTGTTGGCCCATTACCGCAAGTCGCCATACCAATTCTTCATTTAGGTCAATACAGCAGACAGGTCCAGCAATCCCATTAGACTAGGCAATGATAAAACTAATTCCGCGGGAAAAAAAATCTTCGGAGTGAGCAATACGTATCATACAAATATCAACACAGCAACGTTTTTCTGAACATCCTTGTTTATCGTATACAATCTAACACCGTTATAACAAGGTCCTTCGGACTTTACTAATTACCTCGTTATAACAGGTACCTTGTATTAACAGTATTGGAAAACAAAGAAAAACAAAGATTTTGGACCTAAAATTGTGCTTGTTATAAGCATGACGTTGTATTAACAGTGCTCTTCTTATCAAGGTTCGAATGAAGTCAGGTTAAACTTTAAAAAACTGTTTAACTGATGCTATAGGCCCTAAAAATCCATAAAATGTAGTTGTATTTACAGTAATCCAAATTTGACCTGAGCTTCTAAAGTGAATGGGAATGTATTCGGACGCTCAAACAATCGGCGTGTTTTTCGTAAGGACTTTATTTGCAGGTATTTCTAAATAACTATGTATTGATACAGACAGTATTTTGGTTTTAAGATCACACAAATAATACCCAAGCGTTTGTTGCACACCTCGATTGAGAATGTGAACGAACAACGTAACAAAATCTCAGATGGCAGGATTGATGATGACCAAAAACCTGTTATTACGCAAATTACGCACTATGTGCCTATTTTGAGGGCGTATTGTAAGGGTTTTGGGGCTTGGCTCATATTCTTCGTTCATATCAGAACTCTCTTTGCCATTTTGGGAGATGGTTACTGAAAACACATTGTTGTCTTTAATTTTACGGCCAGTTTGGTTTTCATCTCGAGAGGGCACATTTATGCGCGAGGGGGCACATCTGTGTCCGCAAGAGGGGCACTTGGGTAAAACTGGGGGAGTGCCCCCTGCCCCCCAGTTCCGCCGCCCCTCTAAGGATCAGAGTTGGCTTGCCATAATCCAGTTTTCTTTCTGTGCATAAGGACATATAGGATGCTGGTTTTAATCAAACTTTCAAAACCGGACTTACCCGATGGGAATTCCAATGAAATTGCGGGTGTGTAGCACACTAGATGCAGAGCCACAGCGAGAAGGGGAGGAGCCAGCAATGGCCACGCCCTCCCCATCTTCAAGGGCACAAGAACTGAAAGACTGCAGTGTCTAAAATGAAAAGTTAAAAAGTGAAGTACATTACATAATCTGACAGTCAAATGAATATTGTATTTAATGATATCATTTATTATAATACCCATCAACAGTAAGTACACCATAATATGCATGGTTTCATCTCATGTTCGATTGCGTTAAAACACCTTTACTTTATTGCTTATCGGGAGCAGAATATTTCTAGTGCTTTTTAGAGCGGCTGAGATGTAATGTGTATGTGTGTGTAAAATACTGGTAACACTTGGCAGGAGTGTAATTATAAGTCGTTTACATTATTGTACGTGGCGAGGTATTCATTGAAGTCTGAAATTGACGTCTGAAAACTTTACCAAAATACCGTTTCAAAGAAAGCACTAACCGAATACTGCATGTAAGTCTCTGAACACGTTGCCAACAAGAACCAGCGTTTATCGCAGTTTGTAAAGTCGTTCTTCTGGGACAGTACAACACTGCAGAAACTGTACGTATGTCATATTACTTTTTTGACATTATTTTTTGGCAGAATCTGCATTCAAATAAAGAACTTCTCAATCAGTGTTCGTCTTTGCTTGTTTGGAAGTTAGATATATATGTTTCCTTACCAAACGAAGTTGAAGTAAAATCCCGCCTGTGTGTAGATCTCGCCCGCAGAGAGTGGAGAGTGGTTATGAGAAGGCTCGCATCAAGGACCAAAAGCGCTGAATGGTGAGTTACGGGGCATTGCGCATGTAACACGGGTTCACTGTTCATTGTGGGCGTGTTTAGCGTGTACTATTGTCTCACGCGACTCTCTCCAGCTGGGATTAACGAATTAAGGAATCGGGCAAAGTGTGTTTGTTTTATCTACGGCGCGCGGCAACGCATCAAGTTTTGCTCTTCCAAAATGCAAATACATGCAACATTATGTAAAAACATTATATATGTAATACGCATGTGTGAAACATATCACGTACACGAATATATGTGTCGCCTGATTCGGAATAAGTTCTAAGACTTTATATTCCATGTCAGTCAGCGTGGTTGCACTAAATCGGTAGTCTGAATGCTGCAGTTTGCGGGTTCGAATCGTGGAGGACTTTTGCATTTCTCTTTTTTTCCCCAAAATTCAATTTTCTTCCCCGTAAATTGTGTTATCTAGTCCTGGTATGATATATCAAATAGATTCCTCCACTTTTCTTCTCATTCGTGGCTCTAGAGGATTTTATTTTACGGGAAGTTAAGTACGAGAACCATTTCGTAACCAACTGACGCATGCGCATTATGGTCTTTGAATATACTTGGTTGCAGAAAAGAGTAATTGCCGCCCGCCAAAAGAAAGGCGTTATCAAACAATCCCTGACAAATTACTTTAATCCCGTGGCTTAGGGAGTTGTCGTCAACACCCGAACGATTGGTCTTTTTAGTCTCACCGCACACTTTCGGAACAACTTAAGTCGACTAGCGGACTATGGGCCTTAAGCACAAGTTTTTGTCGTGTTCCCTGAATGCATTTCATTAATTGTGAACTGTTGAATGGGATGGTGCCGGACTATTTATTCACTATGCCAGACTATTTATTCACCATAACCTCACATTTTTTTTAAAATGTGGCTTAAAACGTTAGAGTATATTGAATCACAAACAGTAAGTCATTCATCAGAGCGGACTGGTATTAATTTGTAACGACATTGCTTTCATTTCTGTACACATCATTCCAAAAATGAAGATTTTACTTCATTCGCAATCCAATATGGCCGACTAGTGAATCCATAGCAGGCTTGGATTACTCCGGAAATGCTGTGACCTTGGGGGTAAAGGGGTAAAATCAAGATCATTGGTCCAAGACCAAACCCCGTTATTTTGATGCGCTTTTGTGCCCCCCCCCCCCCCGTTTGAAATCCTGCGAAAAGGTCTATAAAATACCAAGAGTTAGACGTATTATTAAATAAATTCACTGCGATTTAATTTTGTTCTCATACACGTAGTCTAGATTCGTTCAGTTTATTCAAACAACCTTGTTTCTGATCACAGAGAAAAAATATTAACTAAAACTACACGTGAACAATGGTTTCAGGTGTGCATTGCCAGCAGAACAAAGATACGAGTAAGCTGTATTACGCAACGTATTCCTCTTTGAACTCCTACCTATGTTCCTACCACCACTGATTAATTGGCCGTTATTGTGAAGTCACCGACCACCACATCACCACTCCAAGAACAATAGATTTGTAAAGAACAATATCTTATGCAATTGACATGTTTTACCTTTTTATATTTGACATAGCATTTTTTTTTTGTCTTCACACAAAAATTTATTTTATATAAATTTTCCGTTGAAAAAAATGTTTTAATGTATACTTCAAGACGGATCTATTTAAGCTTTTCTAAAGAACGGGAATGGTTGAGACTGGTTCCCTTCCCACATTCGAATGGAGTGGTGGGCAACCAGCGCGTAGCTTCACTTGTTTGTGCAGCTCAGAATGGCAAACGAGCTTTCCAGATTGTTTCCATGGAGATCAGCAACCCCTAAATGAGCTTCCCCGAAGCTAAACCTACCGCAAGATGGCGCTGTACAATAATTTATCATAAAGAAACATGCAGGATGTTTGCGGAAATAAGGTGGACCGTAACCAGTCATTCAATAGACTTTGAAATGGTATTTCTTCAAATTCTTCAATCTCTTCAAATTCGTTTTGGCTATAAAAACGACTACTTAAAGCACCTATATATAGATAAACGTGGCTATAAGTCCCACTATTTAAACTACTTCTACACTAATATTTTTAATTCTCCAGCTAACTCGATTTTGAAGGAATTTAAATGCAAAAACCCCGATGCCAAGGCATCTGTAGCCTGTTATGTTTCATGGCGGACGTAATAGAAGCGTTGTTTTGATTGGGCAAATTTTGCTCAATACAACAGAGTTTACCCAAACTAAATAGCGTCCTCTTATTGTGTACACTTTATTTCATAACGTCACGAAATCAACAAAAATCATTTGTGACATTTACATGCCGTAAGGTTCATCCTCAGTATGCCAGTAACTGGCAGTATAACATCTTGTTCTTAACAGTCCCAACCAGCATTTGCTGACCGTAGGTGCTGGCCACGCTTGAACCTCTTGCTAGTAACTGCCCATCATCCATTAAGACTTCTCTCACGTCCGCATTGAGGTCCTTGTCCAAGACGACTTTCAAAACCTGTGAGGTAAAGGTTTATTTAAAAGTTAACAAAATATTATATAAAAATGACTCTGTTTTCGGCTTATAACTTTATTTTTAAGAAAGACAATATCTTTATTACACGGTATTGATACATGTACATATACTTTAATTTATTGGCAATTTTTTCGACGACCCGTCCTCGGACCCGTGCACCACCAAGAGTTTGCAATGGAGAATTCATTTTTCCCAATGCATTGTGGGAGATGCATGGTCGACAAATTCGAAGCGCGGGACATTTCAAACTGTTTCAGTCAGTAGTTTCGTAAGCGTATGATTCGAGTATAATGTTTGCCCTTTTCTTTTCTTCTAATCAATATGGTGTTTTGTTAAGGCAGCAGAATGCTATGCACCAATCTATAACAAATTAGCTAAAGTTGACTACTGACACTCATTCAAATGGGACATGATTTGTCGACAATGGCAAACTCTTGGTGGCCCACTGCATTGTGAATCGCCCGAATTAAAATGCGAGATTGAAAGTAGTTACTCTTAAGGTTGTACCTGTGCAGTGCCCTTGTTGCGGTCATTTTCGTCTCCCATCAACATTTTGTACGGCTGATGGTGGCAACCGATCCACAGGGCACCAGTAGCCCTGTCAACTTCGATGTTATCGACCGTAGTGAACATGTTAAGTTTCTGTCAGTATGAAAAATCGTGAATTTTTAAAGTGTTACAGAGACTGAGATCAATTTTTCATAAGGACGAAAGAAATTAAACATTGATGACTTACAAAGAAATTGCTTATACAGGGTGAGTAAAAAAAAACGAAACCCAAATGTTGGGACCATTGTTTAAGAGAAGTTCTGCATGTAGCATTTTCAAAATCTAGGATATAAAAGCCCAATTCATAAGCTTTCTTTTAGTACAAGAATCATTCAAATCACGTATGTACTTTTCAAGTTACGGAATTTTAAACACAACCACCGTTTAAAGTTCCGTCCACGGATCACAAGAAGGTAAGTGTTCTTTCAGCAAAACGAAAACAAGTCACATAGGGATGTATGTGAATTGTTTTCGTTTTGCTGAAAGAACGCACACCATTGTTGTGATCCGTGGACAGAACCTTAAAACGGTGGTTGTGTTTAAAATTCCGTAACTTAAAAAGTACATACGTGATTTAAATAATTCTTGTACTCAAAGAAAGCTTATGAATTGGGCTTTCATATTCTATATTTTCAAAGTGCTACATTTAGAACTTCAATAAAGTAACAGTCCCGACATTTGGGTTTCCTTTTTTTTTTTACTCACCCTGACTTTCTTATGCTGACTGAGTCACACTATCCCAAGAACCAATTAGTGTTTCTATTCTTTATTCTGAACTCTAAAGATCACAGACAATTTACCTTTAACAACGTCAGCGAGCCGTCCTTGTTTTTCTCGAAAATGTTTACTTCATTGTCAAAGGCCCCAGCCACGTACACGTACCTGCCACAACAGACGCAAGTCAAAAGCTGTCATTACTAACAGAAGTGTCTCAAAATCTTCCAATTATTTTAAATGAACTGAACTGTGATTCAATAATTATAACCAACAAGAACTGACAATACAGAAACACACAGCAATTGAATACACTAGCCGTCCAGTGATCGGTTAATCCAGTTAGCCTGTAGCCCCTTAATTGTGCTTCAATAACTAAATAACCAATCAGAATCCATCATACTGAGAAATACCGAGCCCGCAGAACATACTTGCCGTCCGGTGATTGGTTGATTCCGTTAGCCATTGCGAAGCCAGTAGCCACTATCCTAGCCTTTTCCCCGTCATAGTAAGCCACTGTTCCGGTCGGTATTGGAGACAGAATTTCCAAGAAACTTTTAAATTTACTGAAGTCATTTGTGATATAGAAACGCCTTGCACTCACTGCCACGACATCGTTGGGACTTTCGGTGGGAAAAGGAAAGAAAACCCTTATTTCATCATTTGCAACACATTTCTGCAATTAAGAATACACTGGTAGCAGATCCTATCTTCCGTGGTGCCGTACGTGGGATATTTGGATAATATCCAATAAAATACCATAGGTATTTACCATGAGGCCATTTAATTACAATTGGCGTCATAACTGAAAATCGTTAGTGCCAGTTACCTGGCCTTACCTGTATATACTTTCACTGGTAACCGTCTCCTTGTGTACCAGTGTGTTGGTACCCTGCGTGTACTCAAATAACTCCACTGATGACCCTCCCTTTGCCCGGTTGACGACGAACAGTGTTACTTTACCTGGTGAAATAATTATATGACATGAAATCAGCTTTTGAACTCTCTGTCTTCAATTTCAATAGTGGGCGCTCTTCATTTCACCATCTGTCACCAGAGGTACATGCAGGTATAAGGAACTGATTTTCTACTGTTTGGGAGGCTCCTACATTTGTTAGATACCTAGTTTGACAAAAAGCCCTGAGAACACGTGTACATATTAAAAATTGCTCCTCTGGTGGAAAGTACTTATGCTTGTACTCGTACAAATGACAAAGTACTCGTACTCGTGAAATGTTCTCGACTACAACACTGCTGTGTAAATACGCCTGAATTTATGAAGTCGAAATTGTCAAAACGGATAAAAAGCAGGACGGGTATTTTGACGGTAAATAACAATTGTTTAACTCCCGGAAATCCCCGAGCTGTTGTAAATGTATCCGTGTGTTTTCGGAAACGGGCAGGATACTGCCCGTGTTTCGTCCTGCCTATTTTTAGCAGTGGCGGCCACCTTACCTGAGATTTGTCAGACTGAATCGTCAGAATCGTTTGGTCTGTGAACCATACTTCACTTCACCCCAATACCGTGAGCTCACGTTGTAATACATTTGGTGAAAATAATAAAAAGCTACATGAATGCGGAGGCAATAACTTGCCGTTTTTCATCGCTAGATAGCGCTCTTCAGCTCGCGCTTTAATGTAGGCTCTGGATAAATGTGAGCAATGTATTTGGTGCGTTCGACTAGCTTCCCCGTGTACACACCGGGTTCACACGCGAGCTGGGGCAGTGGTGGCTGGTTGACGCCGAGGCAGCCACGAATGTCACGTTGTGGCTATTTGAACGCTCTCGTGTTACATGTGTAAGCTACTCGAACGACGCAGCCATCATGTATTAAAGCTGAAAACATGGACGCGATTACCAATAAGTTGGTGGATCGGGTGTAACATAAAGATAAAAAGCATGTTAATATCGACATGCATATTAATCGAAGTAAATAGGAATTTGATGACAACGATATTAACCATCTCCACTGCAAAAAAAATAGGGTGATCAAACTTTGACTTGATTTAAAACTGCGGTCGTACCTGTGTTCTTGTCTTCCCAGATACTCAATCCGAGGTAATTGGCGCCCTCCTTGTCAAAGGATTCTCCTTTGATGCTGACCTCACTGACGTTGCGTTCCGGATGATTGAAGTCAAAGGTGAAGATTCGGCTTTTAATCTCGGATTCCCTTGCCCAATCCGCCGGAGAAAACTTAAGCCCCTAAAAAGGTAGAAAGCGGGGTTTTTTTAAAGATGATCTTATAATCCAGGGACGACTGTCCAAACGATTTATTGGTTTGTATTGGCCAAATTTAAGTTGCAAATTGTTCATATATTTTGAGAAGAAAAATATCCTACCAAAATCTCACAATCCTGTTGTGCACTGTACAGGCCGGTATCTCGGCAAACGATTGAATTGAATGATCGAACTGTTCTTCACAACCTCAATAACGAAACTGAAAACCTAACCCCTTTGCCCTTTTCTTGCCCTTTGACCCGCATCGGCCACATCTTACCAGCACACATAAAAACAGTTATGTCTGGGTGTAAAATGCCATAATTTAAATCACAATGCATATTGATGAAACCTGGATCTACGGTATTTAAGTGTAAGCCTTCTCTTGTCTTTATTATGATATAAGCCACACATTGATGAGTTGGATCTATATCGAAGTTTACTTAAGAGATTATGATCAAGCAATTATTGGCGGGAATATAAATGTAAATCATATCAATTTGATACTTACTGAAGATATGAAAGCGATTCCGGATGATGTTGCAGAGATATCCTCAGACCCCAAATCTTAATGATTAAATAAAAAAAAAAGGACAAACAAGAACCAAAACACCGTGTAATAAGCTGTGTAAATATTTTGCACCCGAATCTTCGTCTTTTCAATGTTGCTTTGGGCATGTTTGGCTTTGTTATTGTTACAATCTTGTCTCTCTGATTCCGATTTCATTTTGGTAACTATATCTATATATACTGACCAATTCCGGGTACAACACGGCAAGGTCCTGGCGTGTGATTGAACGAGTGCCTGTGCACACCCACCATTAACCTAGGAAGAAAAATAGTGTCTAAGTTTTACAAAAATGCACACCGACTAATAGAGCAGTCGGATAATTTAATGGAGGTCCTGGGTTCAAGTTCAACCCGAGTTAGCCCTTAAATTCAACTCGCAAGCCTTCAGGCTGCACTGAGCATACAATGGCTATGAAATTATGTTTGTGCAGGACAAAACCCCAACATGCTGAGTACTTCTCGATCCGTGTAATTTCTTGATTAGACGACACTAATATGTGCAGGATGATGATTTCAAACCCACAAGCAAAACTTTTTCAGTGTCAAACACTTGAACATCAGTCCTGATGAGCTGCTAAGCACAACAAACTAGCATAGCCTCTGATTTATAAAAGCAGGTTACCAGCCGAAACTTCATGTGATTCTCATGCTAAGCAAACAACAGGTGAATACCAGTCACAAGCGATACACATCACGTGGACATTTCATTGGTAATCCTGTTTTTGCCAGGGAAGACTTTGCATGCTAAGCAAATGTGTGTGTTAAGCAGCTCCATGACATTGACCCCTGAATGCCTCAGTGTTTATAGCCTACGCATAAGTACATGTAGACCAACTCAGTGAGTTCCCCACCCGGTCACAACTCATGAGAATGTCCCACACGTCATTCTACTCACGCTACTTTAATGCCGAACTGCAGGCAGGCGACGAAGACAACAAACAGTGTAGCTTTCAGCAATATTCCAGCCATCGTTGATACCGTTCCACGATCCACCAATCCCACGGACGTATTGGCCGATAACACCGCTTCCTTTATCGGTTTGGAGTTATTATCGGTTATCAGAGACAGTGGAAACTGCACAGTCACTGGTTAATCCTGAAACCTTTATCAACAGCGATATCAAGGTGGTTCTATGTTACGCACCTGAAATGGCTTGGGTTTTGCAACAAGCCCACACAAAAGTACTAGACTGAGTATCACCCGTTGTCCAATGGAGCCCTCCCAGTCTCCAATCCAACGTCTGATATAACTAAGCCTGCAAATTTATGCGACACCGCGCGCCAACCAATCGGAGTCGACATGACGTCATTTCATTCCGGAATCTGGACAAAGCTGTTAATTGGTAAATTTGGATGCCATGTTTTCGTATAACGGGCATAGAGATCTTTAAAAACCGACATTGGCTTTCAAATATGGGTTACCGAAGACCCGATATAGAGGGCACCCGCTGAATGGTCAGAATCTCGAGGTCAAGATGCAGTCTAGTTGCACAAATAATCGCCGAATCTGCTCGCATATCATAGATCCTAGCTGTGAAAGGGCATATTCCATAGACTAACAAAGTGCTGTCACGTCACACTGTGGTGAAAAAATATATGAGCCTCGAACATACAAAATAATGATTACATACATAAGAAACATTTTCGAATTTTATTATGCTGATGGGGTACGTACTAGGCTACAATAAAACGAATACATGGTTTGAGGGGAAGTACTGTGAAAGGACTGGCCATTCTGTGTTGGCCGATTCTGACTGTCCCCTCTGCTCCGCGTCGGGATCAAGTAGACAAAATTAGCCAACACCGCATTACCATTGATTTCGTGAATTTGTATAATATCGCTGTACCGTAAATAAACTCCGGCTTTCGCAGACATCGTTGTCGGTCTATCCTGTTGACCTTTGGCATTATCATAATAGCAAATATTCTATAGAACACGTAGAACCGAAATCATTCAGGGGCAAGGCTTCTATTGTCGTCTACGGTGGGGCCCTTCCACTCTTTCAAAAGGGGTGTTCAATTCTAAATAGAAACCTCAACTTTTGAACTAAAGGCTAACATTTTCTCAATAAATTAATAAAAAGAAACAGGATGTTATTTGGCCTCACACTGATTCAAACGTTCTCTTTGAATTATATCGGCACAGCAAAGTCAATGCATGTGGCAAGGTTTAGGATAAAGACTTTACGTTTGCTGTAAGGAACATTTTATTAGTCCAATCGTTTTTCAAAATGCAAATAACCTGTTGATTTAGATGACTGTAAAAAGCTGTTTGTATTATCGATATAAAACGGTGTAATATCATTACATTGAGAAATTGCGAGCTAATCATGGACTAATTTTCTACACAAATACACTATATAGACATTCAGGCCTACCGTATAGACCTATATAATGCTTCCACCATTTTAGTCATGTTCCCAGTATCCAATAACAGTACTGAATGATAAATGTTTTTGTGCAAAAAAGGAACCAGACTATTCTTCCCTCCAGCCTCGCTTAGGTTACATTGATTTGAATGGGGAAAAAATCAATGATGTTTTCTCCTTTAATTCCAACTCCTGGTCAGTGGCGGAGGGGGTGCAACCCTTCGTTCAGCCGCTGACTAATGTTATGATGCAAGTAAAAAAAAATGGGGCCAAGAATAATACATGGAACTGCTGAATTTCCTATATACATTTATTCTTAAATTACCTTAGAATACAGAATAATGCATCGTAGATTTGAACATTTTGCTGGAGGCATTTGCTTCCGGATCCACATAACAGGGCGTAACTTTGGCACGTCTTCACTCAGCCCCCTTTATATCAACCCTTCCCCCTGCCCCCCCCCCCCCCCCCCAGTTTTCTGAAAGCTAGATTCACCCCTGCTACTCTGTGATCCTACAAATGCCCAAAAAACATCAGCATGCAGTGAGGTAGCGCTGATGAGGCCAAGTAAAAAAACAGTTGATCGTCCCCACCCGCATCCTTCTTTAAAGCCGAATTTTTTTTTCTCATCTCATAAAGCTACCTTTTTCTTGTATTTCGCTTTAATAAAATACATAAAACATGTTTAATGTGAATATTTTTACTTTACTTACTATAAGGACATCTAATTAAAAACTGGCGGTCATTTTGAACTGAAGATGGCGGCCATTTTGAATTTAAACACTTGGCGGCCATCTTGGAACAAAATAAAAAATTAACATTAAAAAGGCCCTTATCGTCCTCTTTTTGAAAAAAATCCCGGGCGATCAACTTTTTTTCTTGGCCTAATGAACTTACTTTGGTTATGATAAGGAGCAACTTGCCGACAAAAATTTTGCGTTTTCTTGACAAGATTATTTCGAAAGCGATGAGCAAGATTACAAGCAGCACCCTCCAGGGGCCAGATCGGACAGGGATAGAAGCGAGGACCCTATACCAGTAACACAACGGATTTAAAATGTCACCCGTCTTCAAATTATAAAACGCAATGAAATTATGTTCAACTACATGTATATCTTTCTGTAAACACATTTCAAAAACCTTCAGCTGTAATGCCGATTTAAATGAAATGATCTGCAACGGGACCCCGACGCCCAGGCATAAAACTGTGAACAGTTCATACGAAATGAGACTTAGAGTATTTTTTCTCATAGCTTTCTTATGCAGTATGAAACACATAAATTGCTCATTTTCATTATTCACTCCGTTCAACATTTCAATATTAGCAGAGGGATGTTATGTGGATAGAAAGGTTGACTGTTCCGATTTATTTCATCGTGTAAGATTCTGTTAAAAGGCTCATGTTCTGGCGACATGCGACTCATATTGTTGGCTGGGTAACAATATTGGTAACAAGCTCAGTATGCCAATAACTGACAGTATAACATCTTTTCCCTGACTGTCCCAACCAGCATTTGCTGGCCGTAGGTACAAGCCACGCTAGAACCGCTCGCTAGTAACTGCCCGTCATCTATTAACACTTCTCTTACGTCCGCATTCAGGTCCTTGTCAAAGGTTACCTTCAGAACCTATGAGGAAGAGAACAAATGTAAAATAGAAAACTACAGTCGAGGTTTTCATCATTAACCTTTTTAAAAATGATACTTTATTAGTGATGATTTACGAAACTTCGGCCGCTAAGACCGATGGAAAAAAGTTTCGGAATTGTGCCATAAAATGTGCAGTGAGATGTGAAATTTGGGCGCTCCAACAGCAGAGAACATTTGAGTGTCTCAGAACAAAGACTTGGGGTAGTCTCTGATATCCAATCCTCAAGTATTAAAGGTTCTCTACCTGTGAAGTGCCCCTGTTGTGGCTGTGTTCGCCACCGAAGATCGCTTTGTACGGCTGGAGGTGACAACCAAGCCACAGGTCACCAGTGGCTCTGTCCACGTCGATGTTATCGGCCGTTGTGTGCATGTCCATTTTCTGTATAATTGTGAACAAATCTAGTTGAGAAGTAAATTGTTGTGATAGCGGTTGAGATCTGTCTAAAAGTACCAAAAACATGGGCATACAAATAAAAACTCCCTTGTCTGTACTCAGCAGTTATCTTTCAGCTGTGTTTTGTTATTGCTCATTCATTAACTATAAATTCAAAAGAGGTTTAGGTTCACTGAAAACTTACTTTTAACAACCTAAGAGAGCCGTCCTTGTTTCTCTCAAAAATGCTGATTTCGCCATCAAAGACCCCAACCACGTACACGTACCTGCGAGAACACATTTTTAGTAGTAATAGATTTGTATTTGCAACAAAATAATCTTTAAAATACATCTTGCAATTATTTGAACCAACCTGAATCCGCATTTAATAATGTAACCAATCAGAACTGACGATTGGCGGAACCATTAGCTACTCTGAAGTCATTTAAAATTTGCGTTTAAATTGAGACAATCAAAATTGCTCGTAGAGAAATAAACCACCCCTCACAACATACTTGCCGTCCGGTGATTGGTTGATTCCGTTGGCCATTGTGAAGCCAGTAGCCACAATCCTAGCCTTTTTGCCGTCGTAGTAAGCCACCGTCCCGGTCGGTATTGGAGAAAATATTTCCAAGATGCTTCTGTATTTTGAGTCATTTGTCACATAAAAGCTCCTGGTGCTTACTGCCACGACATTGTTTGGGCTTTGGGAAAATGAAGATTCATTGTTTCAGCAGGTGATGCAAAATTTTAGAATAACATATAGATAATAGCCCAAAAGCATATACAGCAATTGAATAGTTACATAATGTCATGGACGGTGGAAGTTTTTGTTGGGGAATTTTTTAGATATTTGGTTTCGCCATTCCTTCTAATTTTTTTATTAGCACTGCACCCTAAGCGTTGCCTGCCTGGCCATTCCTCAGTATACGTAATCGACCGTTCAATACCAAAGTGGACAATGTTTTACCTGTATATATTTTCACTGGTAACCGTCTCCTTATGCACCAGTGTGTTGGTTTCCTGCCCGTAGTCAAATAACTCAACTGATGACTTTGTCTTTGCCCGGTTGACGACGAAGAGTGTTACTTTACCTGGTGAAATGTGACCAGAGCATGAAGTGTTGCGGTAAGAGAGGGTTTTGAATTCGTAGTCTTTCAAGGAAAAGAACATCTCGGGTTTGGGTGCAAGGAAAATGGGAGGTGGTGACGACAGTTCCCATTTTTCTTCGATACAGAGCGCCATGGGTCTACACTAGTCTGGTTCCCTGAGCCTTACTTTCCTCTAGGTCAGGTAACCGTCGCATTCAGACGAGCGCATAAACGGACAGAATATAGTAGTCACAATCGTTTTTGTCCGGGAACCAGGCTAGGTCTGCTTTTTACATCTGAAGGTCCGAAAATACATAGTAGGGCTATAGCAAAGTATTGTTCATGTACAAAATGTACTATAAAATAAACGAGGGTTGACTGTTAGATAAAAAAAGAAGGATGAAAAAAGGCTTAAAAGGGCAGATGATGGCAAGAAGTCTTAATTGTTACATTCCATGCCACAGATGTACCGAAATGTAAGACTGCGGGTTTCTTTTTAATAACATGTACACTATACCTGTGTTCTCATCTTCCCAAATACTCAATCCGAAGTAGTTGACGCCCTCTTTGTCAAACGATTCTCCTTTGATGCTGACTTCACTCACGTTCCGTTCAGGATGGTTGAAGTCAAATGTGAAGATGCGACTCTGTCTCTCAGATTCTGTTTCCCAATCCGCTGGGGAATACTTGAGCCCCTGGAAAAAGTTTTTAGTTAAACTTGCAGAGTGACCATGTAAATCATTAAGGGAGAAAAACAACAGTATGCGCGCGTGCGTAGTAACGGTAATAGAGGAGTGCATGGTTCGGCATAACAGATTTCATTTTTAGGTACACCTCGTTTTCAATTTATTGCCGTTTTAGGGTGCAAGAGCCGCCGAGCCGCGCATGTTTCATGGGCACTTCATTTACACACCCTAAAAGAATCTCTCAATCTAGGTATGAGTGTTGACACTGTTGAAAGAAATAAAATGTGATCCGATCGGCGCAAGCACTTTTGAGGTTATGCACTGATTTGCGACTTTTAGAGTCTTCGAAAGAGCCTGAAGCATAACAGCACATGAGAAAACAAGATCAGCTACATGTATATCCTTCTCTTACGTCATACACCTAGTTTCTATTTTATTTTTTTTTGGAATCGTGTCTTCCTGCTGGGATGTAAGCCATGCGAAGTTCGGGTGTATTGCAATTGAAGGACCGCCATGTTATCATGAAATTGCAAGACAATGTTGTACTTACGGAAGAGATGAAGGCCAGTCCTGACGATGTGACTGTGATATCCTCAGACCCAATATCTGAATGATTCAATTCAAAAACACAGTTGTCCAGTTATATTCTACAGTATGTTAGAGTTTTGTTTTGTTCGTGATTTTTATATGTCAGATTTTCTTTTCCTTTTATTCAAAGTTGCACACCATTATCTCTCTGATCAAAGTTCCTTTGGCGATAAGGTCTTATTATGCTTACCAATTCCGGGCACAACACGGCAAGGTCCTGGCGTGTGGTTGAACGAGTGCCTATGCACGCCCAGCATTAACCTGCGAAGAAACATGACTACACAGACTTGTTAAGTTGTCCAAAAAAATAAAAGACAACGGAGCAAATGCCCAACTTCCAAAATATCTACATAAACAGTAATCTTTCGTTTAAATTCAATTTGTATGGTTCAGTGCTGTCCAATGACAAGGAGACTAAATCAAACCCAATTTTCAAGCACTTGGACGTGTTGGAAGGCCTAAATACCGATACCCAACATCATGGCGTTTCAAGTTATATGGTATACAAACTAAAAAAAAAAAGCAAAACATGATTGATATGTCTCATTCCATTGTCTATTGATTATACTACGCAAAATCTATTCTTCAATCACTCAAACTTACCCTTTTAAGACAGTTGGCTAACTGAGGTCCCTACAAATTTTATTCGATCCCGTCCAAACGCATGAAATCTCGGCATAAAAAAAATCACACGGTATAAAAATACTCACGCGGTTTTGATACCGAACCGCAGGCAGACGACGAATACAAGAAAAAGTGTAGCTTTTAGCAAAACTCCAGCCATCTTTAATATGCTTTCTGCCGATAGACCTTGTACACAGCTAAATTTGTTGGTTTAAAACTCACTGGATTAACCTAACCAGCATAATGTATCTTGTCGAGGCAATGTTGACTCAGTTGCAATGAAACATATTGCTTCAGTCAGTCGACAAAGACTTAACCATGATATAGCCGGTAGACATATTAGCAACCATGACACTTATATTGTGGTGAATGTACAATCCCAAGTTTGCACACACACAGGACTCGTGTTGGACTTCGATCCTTAACCTTTTCACAAAGTTTTTTTTTCATACAATCAAAACAAGTTCAACAAGTGGACAAACCCCACGGACATCTTCAAATGGGTTTTATTCCATCACGGATAACTCTTCTGCTAACCCCCACCCCCCAAAAAAATCATCTTCTATGCGGTACCCGCTGCTATGTAGGCCTACATCTGATTCGAACCAACCAACCAACCAACCGATCCTGTTAGCTCGGTGGTAAAGTGTAAAGCAGGAGGTCGTGGATTAGAGTCCCATCCGAGTGATATTTTCCAACTTTTTAATCGGGAGGTAAACACACTGAGTGTACACTGTTAATACGCCGGTGAAGGGCAAAACCTAATTTGATTTACATCACCCAATGAACATGGAGAGCTGGGGGTGTCAGAGCGGGGGGGGGTCCAGCTGGGTGGGGGAGGGGGGGGTTCGAACCGTGTTGAAAAGAAAAAAAGAGGAAACGAGAATTTGTTTTTACAGGTTTGTTTGGTAACACTGTTAAAGAGGTTGTGGAATGCTCGAAGACATTTCCGTCATTTTTCGGGTATATGTAGCCTAAGGTGTGATGAAATAAAAACGACTGTTGTTTCTGTCATGAAATGAATACAAAATGTACTTTTGAGAGCTGTTTTTCAGGTCCTGTTTCGACCCGAACGTGCAATTTGTGTAAAAGTCGTCGTTGGGGGCAGCAAACAAAACATAGTAAATCGTGACGTAATAAACAGGACTCCCAATGCAGCGTAGTTCATGTAGTTCCAGCGAAACTTTTTGCAAATCACTCCGTGCAACGACATGACTTTGTTTACAATTACACTGAGCGACCTTTCGTATGGGCAGCCACATGCTCCATAAGTTCAACCGTAGTTGGCAACAGCTTTTACCCCCGAAATTCTTATGGGCAAGTTCAGAAATTAATAGGAAGATATCTCCATTGACTTTTTTGGTACTTTCTATTGATTATTTAGTGTTTTGATAGATACACATAATTTTATTATAGATCGGGGATCATTCTTTTGTGTTTGCCCCACAGCCAACCATAGTAAGAAATGTCTGCGTTTCATCAACATGCACATCGCATCACCGTGACACGCGCTATGTAAAGCTGGCTGGAAATTCACGGGTGTACTGCCGCTTGCCCGGCCGCTGGGAGCGTAGATTATGACACCGGTAAACGGTGTTGGAATTTCAAAATAATTCGTTGCTGATACGTGTACGGGTAGCGAACGCACTAGGCCAAGGCAAACCTATATGCCTATAATTGTGTCAGTCGCTGGTAATCACACCACATTTTGTTTGCAATAAATTTCCAGCTTTCCCGTCCGGGTGTCAGCATGGAGGAATAAGAATCCTCCGTAGCCATGCAGTTTGTCCGAAGGGTACCGTGCGAAAACACGAGATCGGATTTCAGCCAAATTAACGGATAGAGCGCTGATCATGCACTGTACATTTTGTACGGCAAGAGCTTTTTTTGGTAAACAATAAAGTTAACAATTTCGAAATTCAACTTTCAAGTAAATTCGTAATTATCGTTTCAGGATGTTAAAACAAGGGTTAAAATGCACAAGGAAAGAAAAGAGAAGAGGACTAATATTTTGTGGCGAACGTATACATAAAAAGCACCAGGCAACGCAAGGAACTTGACCGGGGCCCGCGACGCTGCTAACCGTACAACATTAGTTCTGGACACGGTCGACCACATCCACTGCCGTGATGCGTTATGCGTGCCGTACGCGTATAATTCGAAAACAACCTGATGATTTGTCGTCTCTTTGGACTGAATATTCACCAGAATAACGTTTAAGATTGTCTGTAAATCACGAAGAAAGTTGCGGTAGGACTGTTGATGCTCATCTAAAAATGTTATCATGAACATAATACTTTGAGTCCTAGGATAAAACGCAGCTGTTTTTTTCACGCAAACGTCGCAGACCTACCACTCATCAGAGCCGCGTTGCCTGGCGTTTTCAGCTGGCCAGTTGCAGTATCCGTGTTTTCGCTGGTCTCTTTTTCGGGCAGTTGGGGCTCAAATTTATACGGAAGAACATCTCAGAGGTCACCGTGTCCTTGTTCAATATACTCATCCAAAAATTAAGCAATGGGAAGGAATATCAATCTCCGCGAGTCTTTTACAAAATGTTGATTTTTCACTGCTTGACTGCGAGTCACACATGCTAACGGGGCGGGTTGGACAGCAGTAAACAGTCGTTGTATAAACGAGTCATGTTTATTACGTCACGCTTTTTCTGATTTTACGAAGAGCCCGACGACTGTTGATTTCAATTATGCGCTCGCCGACCAACAAATTACTCGATGAATTTCAGTTTTATGAACATATAAACGCACATTAGAAAAGAATGGGAGTTTGTCATTATGCTATATATGGGTCTACTCTACAATATAAAAATGTAAAAAAAACAAAACGATTTTCAGCATTCCACAACCTCTTTAATCAGGCCTCTATGCCTATTCCGTTCGCTGTTCCCAACAGTCCTTCACCAGGCTGTAATCAAACATTATTTTCCTGAACAATAAAGTAAACAGTACGTTCTCATCCTTAATTCTAAACCCCCCCCCCCAAATAAAAAACCGTAAATATACACGAAAACAACATTACACAAGAACACCACATTACACCAGGGGAGCTGTTCACGATACCGATGTGCTTCCTTTATGATAGCACTTCGTACGGTACCCCCGCCCTGCAAACAGGGCCTAGGGCGCTGGGCCGGGAAGGGCTAGGCTGATGAGCTTCACAGAATCTTGTGAAGGAAGTAGGGATGGCATCTATGGCGTGTCAAACGTTGCAATATTCAATGTTTTACAATATATATGTTGGATGTTCAATATGTGTTTGTTATCTTTTACATTTATGTGCGATGTTCAACATAAGTGTGCGATGTTTTTCATTATGTGTGCGATGTTTAATATATGTGTGCGATGTTTTACAATATATGTGCGATGTTCAATATATGTATGCGATGTTTTACATTTATATGCGATTTTCAATTTATATGTGCGATGTTTGACGATATATATGTGCGATGTTTTCAATATTATGTTCGAAGTTTTACATTAAATGTGCGGTGTTTTTTTAGATACAATTGTGTGTGATGTCTACAATATATTTGCGATTTTCTTAAATATGTGAGCGATGTTTTACAAATATATATTTTACATTTCGAGCAATAGGTTTTCGATGTTTCATCGGTATTTGTATTCGATCTTTTGCAATATGCATTTGATGTTTCACTTTTCATTTGATGTTTCGTTAAGAGTCACAGTCTGGTTACTAGACCGCGAAAGTTTGACTATTTTGCCTAAAGTCAGTGCATGAGACGTCAGGGGATCGCGTAAGTGATTAGAGCCAGACCTAAACGGTAAAAATCGGAATTGTGGGTAATCTTGGATCATGTGCAAAGCAGTCGTCATTGTTTGGGCAGTACCGCCAGCTGCATGTTTTCGTAATTTGGATGTTTATGGTGTTAGCATGGCGCTATAAAAACCAATCTGCGCAGTACCGGTGTCACGGTCTCACTTCTCCGGCGTGCTAGCTTCTCCGCAGAGGGAAATTTCGCCTAAACACGCATGCGCAAGTTGCGCAGTAGTGTACATTTCGCCAACTTTATTGTGTGCTGAGTCCTTTGGGGTTGTACGGGTGCACGTGAGATCTTTGGATATTTGTATGTACAAATGTATACGTTACAAGGTACCAGTCGAATCCAGAATTTTCGTGGCGCGCGGAACTCCCAATACACTGTACATGTAAAGATGTGAAGGATCCACATGGTTGCGAAAATAAAGACAACCACGAACGAGCAAGGAACACAGACCTTTCACAGACCAAGGAGCCATGCACAGACCATGGAGCTAAGGAGTTCGTTCTTAATTATTCTTCCATACACCCAGGTACACTCCCACGCTGTTGCAAGACCATGGAATGACCCGGGCAAAATACTCCAGTCCTCTTTAAGCTTGACCCACAGGAAGTGTTACATAACACATTCTTGGGTGGACTTGGAAGACTCCATAGCACCGCCCGAGGAAAAGTAAGCACAGCGGACACATATGAGCATGTATCGTGCTCATGTAACGTGCACTGTAACGTGCTCAATTATCCGCCGCATTCACCCGGAGAATCCAGCACGCCGGAGAAGCGAGACCGTGACACCGGGTGCAGTTTATTCATCGTAATTCTCGAATAAACAGCCCACCGAGTGTTGTATAAACAAGAG